AGAGATTCCATATGTTCTTCTAATGAAGCTTGCCATGTATGGGTGACGTAAGCAACTACACCAACAGTTGATCTTCGGTGGCGAAAGCCATATTGTTTATCTTCAATGATCCGCGAGCTCCCCAGAGGTTTATCTTCTCTACAAAAGTTAGTTAGTTACCATTTTCACATGTTACATGATGACTGATAGCAGCGCAATTGGCCTATAGTTGGTGGGCAGGGTTTTGTTTATTTTTTTAGGGATTGATTGGATTGTAGCTATTTTCCAGCAAGATGGGAAAATACCTGACTTGCAAGACATGGTGAATAACTTGGAGAGAATCGGTGTCAATTCTGGTGCATACTTTTAGAGATCAATGGGTTCCATCTGGACCATCAGGCATTCGAATTTCAACGGTTGGAATGTCTCGTGGTACTCTTCCTTGGGATTTTGAGGTGGAGTTTGCTGCGAACATCTATGCAAAAATGTTTGCTTTCTCTTGCGAAGTTGTTGCTAATGTTCCGTCTGCTTTGGAGAGTGGTGAGAATGAATATTTCATGAAATTCCTCCAGATTGCTAGAGACCAAAACGAACGGGAGCTATTAGAATGAACTCTTCTAGGGCTCCAATTCCCGCCAGGCAAATAAGAAACGAACGAGGGAGGAATGTTGACAATATGGAATTGCAGAAATGTTTACAACATAAATATGGACTTGGCAACAATTCTCGAATGGGGATACAATAACTTGGTTGATTTCAATGCAAACAAAACACAAGCATGCCTTTTCTCTGGAAAAGCCGATCTCACTGTGCCCAACATAAGCTTGTCCGGAGTAATCATACTTTTGAAGACATCCATTATCCATTATTACTATCAGCAATAACCTTTCTTGGGAAAATCACGTGGGATCAATTGCTAAAAGTGCATCCCAAAAACTTGGTTTTCTGTTTAGGGCCAGGAGCTATTTCATTCCCAGTCAGCTGCTTATGATCTATATGGCACAGATCCGACCTGCCCTGGAATACTGTTCCCATATTCGGAGTGCAGCACCCAAACATATCCTGAAACTGTTAAAAAAGGGCAATTCGTCTCGTGGGTGATGCCTCGCTCGCAAACTCACTTACTTCACTGGAACACCGTAGAAAAGTTGGCAATCTGGCTCAATTTCATAGATATTTTCATGGGCAATGCTCTTCTGGAATATCAACAATTGTTCCTCCCTTGGCAGTCCCCGCCAGATTGACCCGTCGAGTTGAGGTTTTGCAATTCTTCGTGGTCACTTTGGAGACCTGCAGAACATCTCTTTTCAAAGATTCGTTCATCCAACGAACAGCGGGGCTCTGGAACACATTGCCAAGGGAGGTGTTCCTCGAGGCATATAACCTCCACCAATTCCTACCTTATTCCTTTCGGATCTTGAGATGTTCTCTGAACATTACAGGATATCCCTTGTTGTGGGAATCAGAACATAAAAAAAAATTGTACGATTCTTTAGATGCATCTATTGTTTGGCTGCAGTTATTCCTGGATCCAACATATCCTGCTCTAGTCACGTGGTTAGGGCTTTTGCGCCAGCGATGATAGGCTGTTTGTTTGAAGATGTTTGAAGGCAACAGCTCTAGAACAGTTCTTGTTGAACCAGGGTTTCGCAGGTGATGATCTTTTCGAAAAATTGATGTATGTATGTGTCCATTCCAAGCGTGATGATGTAGTATATTTTTCGAGCGAACTGTGAAGGATTGTTACAATCAAAGCATATTCTGAGCCAAGAAAAACATGCGGAGACCTTCCCAGACCCCTGAGTTATAGGAATGGAATGAAGAATAGGTATAGGTTCATTCGGGTTCCAACTATTACGGTTCTAGAACTGCCAGGGATTTGCGCAGTAGAATCGGTCGCGTTCGGGTTTTGTGGACCTGTTCTAGGACTGACTCTTTACTCGTTCGGGTTTTCCAGAATCGTCCTGGGATGGTCCTAGAACTTTCCGAAACCAGTACCTTCTCTCGAGCATGAACCGTTCTAGGATTATTTTTGGCGCATGCTCATTCTATTTAGTGTTCGATTTTATCTGTTGTAGCGTAACGTCATAATGATATATTTCTGTTTATTCAACTGTTTAGTGCTCTTTTCACTATTTCCTCAATATTATGGAGTTAGTACATTCATTCGATAGCAGTAGTTCTTCATCTGCAAGAAGCAGTGGTGAAGGAGTTCCTTGCTGAAGTTGCTGAAAACATTGTGCCTAATCTGGTAATTCTCGAGCTTCTTTTAGATAATCCGAAAAATGGAGGATTATGTTAGGGATACTTTGCCATTAAATTCAGATACACAAAATTGAATGAACATTTCAGGTGGGTGTCGAAATTCATGTAGATACAAGGAACAAAACATATTGAGAATCTAGCTACGAATGCGATGATGAAATATATTCACAATTCCTCCACAGAGGGCTTCCAGAGGAGAGTTTGAAGCTTCAGAATATTATTAGAATAAAGATACAGGTTCCAAACTATTGGTTTTTTCGCAAATTCTGAATAAAGTTAAGTTCTCAAAGACTCTCTTCTGCCGCGTTCGGGTTTTGATAAATTGTGAACCGTTCTGAAAGAGTCCTAGATTCGAAACGACTGCGCACTAGTTCTACGCAGTTCGAGAACGATTCTTGAATAGTTCTGAAATTGCAACCCGAATGAACCTGGTAGATAAATGATATGAGTGTGTGATCAGAATTGCTAAGTGGAGCTCGTACATCTATGATGCTGAATTATTAGTGAGGAATAAGCCAAGTGTGTTGAAAATATGATTATTTACATCGTGAATTCGTGTGGTTGCCTTGATAAGATGCTCTGAGCCGTGAGTAATCGCGAAAGCTATGGCTTGTTGCTCATCCGTTCTGTTGAAGTGTATACGAGCTAAATGCAGTGTTGTTGTTGTTGTCCCTTGAAATCAGCTCTATATATCACACCCCAGCAACCCAAAAATTTGATTCAAATTGCTCGCCTGGAAACGTTTCTGCTCAATGTCGGTCATGACATCGGGTCATGTCTCTTGGTGTTCGGAAACATAGGTAAGAGTGAGTGAGATATATGATTCTCGTCTCAAATGCGCACGCTCCCAAGTTTGATTTCGTAAATGAATGAGATTCGATCTTATGACATTAGCGGTCTGGTTAGTAATTCATGTTGGAGGGTTCTTGATTTTGATTTCTTTCTCCCCAGCCAGTGCCACTTGTATTTGCTTGGTGCTATAACGTATAAAGCGCTCGAAAAATTGAAGCGGAAAACGCTTTGAGAAAATGATGCTGCGAAGTCGGAATTACAAAAAAAAATGGGGAATTCAGAATTCAAAAAAAAAAGTGAAGATGATAATGTGACCACCGTCAAGTCTTCGGAGTATTTGGAAGCGTAATAATTACATAGATCTCAGTTCATCCAATTCTTGATAATCAGTGCCGATTAATCCTTATCATGAAATCATGAATTCATACCTACTTGAGTTGATGATGATAAATAGACAGATATACTCGAAAGTTTATCATCTTTTCATTATCATATAGATAAGCACCTACTTATAGTTGGAAGTAAACACCCACAAAATCATTTAGTCTCCATTTGCTCACTTTGAGTAGTTGGTGTCCATTGAAATATCCATGATGATCAAATGTGAGTATCTACCTTTACTGAATATGTATCAACACAGGTACACAATTTTCAATGACTGCGGAAAAATTAACATATATCAATTTTCACCAATAAAATGATGTGGGATGGATGTGTGCGCACAATAAGTATAATTTTTTACGGCTTTAACATAAAATTGCTCTTGTTTTCACAAAATCTCAACATCGTGAGAACCAAGAGGAAATAAGGTAGGAATTGGTGCTCTTCTTGAATTTCTGGAGGTTATATGCCAAGGAAGGAGCAATGTGTTCCAAAGCCTCGCCCTTCGTTGGATGAACGAGTCTTCGGAAAGAGATGTTCTGCAGGTCTCCAAAGTGACCACGATGGGGTACGAAGCCTCAACACGACGGGTGAATCTCGCGGGGACTGCCAAGGGAGGAACAATTGTTGATATTTCAGAAGAGCATCGTCCATAAAAATATCTATGGAATAGAGTCAGATCGCCAACTAATAGAGAAGCAGTACTTTAGAGAAAATCAGATGGCTTCAAGCCAAAGAAATAATAAATTTTGCTGTTATCAGTTGTGTGTATAACTCGCACGTAATACCAATCTTGAATAACCCTCTGTGCAGTTGCCTCTCTTGCCCTGTGGGCAATCTGGCCTTGAACGAGACATATTAAGACATAATAACTATATTATGACTCAATATTGAGATATTCACGTTGAACAGCTATACAGTGTGTTTAAATTGCATTGTGCAATAGCTTCTTCACGATTTCTCGCTGGATACCTAGAGACATGTCAAAATCTTTCAATTCGAACGATATCCTAATTCGCACCACCTCCGCTCATCAATAATTACTATGAATAGAAAAGTACACAGTGGCTCTTGTAATGGCATCACCCCAATTTTTTTTTCAGTGCATATCAATTTTTTATTCCATGAAAAGGGATTTCAAACATTTTTTGTTATGCTGAAAAAATAATTCGTAACTTCATTCGTCAGCCATATTCTGCATTTGAAGTAAAATGTATACGTATTGGGTATTGAATAAAAAATCCTATGAAATAAGTTCCTAAGAAAAATTAATTACAATGCTTTTTTGTATAATTTGGGTAATTCTTCCAGAATTTATTCACTGGAATTCCATCAATATCAGAGAAATGGGAAGGTAATATCGTATTTCAAAATAATCAATGAAATAATGCGGTGTTCCAGAGGGATCTGTTCTCGGCCCTCTATTCTTTTTAATGTACACATCAATGATTCGGCTGATATTTTCATTCTTTGAAATGTTTAACATCATAACCTGTATAAAGTAACTATGCACGAATGCAGTTCTGCTGTAGTATATTATAACTGGGTGCATTTGTGTGAATTCATCAATTTTGTTTGTTTCAGACTCCCTCTTCGTTTTGGTAGCTGTGTCGCTTTCATTTGTGATTGGTAAGTGGTCAAAGTACCTATTCCATTGATAGAATAGAATAGAATCGAAGCTTTCAAACTAACGACAAGGACCATAATCATGTCATACTGCAGTAATCTTCCATATCTCTGAAAAAAAAAACTGTAGAGAACATCGAAATTTCAACAATGATCAAGAATCCATTTTTTCATATGAATATCATAGATTTCTTCCATAGACTTCTCCACCAGATTATTTTTTATTTGCTCGAATCGTCATAAATGTGCTGATATTGATTGACATCTGGCAACTCAGCTTTCTCCACTCATGAAAGTTGCTATTGTCGTTGCATACGTTTGCACCTGTTGGATATTGATGTCACTTAAATCGAGCTGCTTCATGACCTCAAATCAGCTAAGAAATATTATGTTAGGAAATAACAACTGATACAAGATTCAATCGCCAATTGTTTCTAGGGTCCCCAGAACCAAAATGTCCATCAGATGGAGTGAGTACATACAGAGATGCCACGAACTGCACTAAATATTATGAATGCAACAGAGGACATTTGATAACGCTAGAATGTACAGATGGCATGTATTTCAACGAAAAAATACGCGCATGTGATGACCCGGAGTTCGTGGATTGTGGTAAGTTATGGAACAACCAAGTACCACCTATTATTTCGAATAAAACGCATCTGATCGTTACCACCGATACAACAAGGCCAGCAGACTCTGACGTAAACAGCTCGTGACGTCACCAAGAGAGGCCAGTGTTTTATTTTATCGCTTATCGACTAACGCGTCAGTTCGTGTTAATTCATCGGTGATTCACGTATATTTTTGAAACGGTCCCGAATTCTTTTGTTGTTTATTCATCAAAATAATTGGCGGAAAAATTACTGTTTTGTGAAATATTTTGTGTTGTGATCTGCGAAATGACAATGCCTTTCAAGTGTTGTGTTCCGTTTTGTCGGGGAAATTATGTGGGTGGTTCAAAAGTTCATGCTTTTAGTTTCCCGTTGGACGAGGAGCTATCGAAAATGTGGGTATATGCAATTCGCCGCGAGGATTTTACTCCATCTAAGTTGAGTAGTAAACAGAGCTTAATTTATAATGATGAATTAATAATAGAAGACAATTACTCTCTCATAAAAAGTATAAGTAGAGGAAAAATAGAAAAGCTTTGATTGTGCAGTTAGTTTTGTATTCATATATTATAGTCAACAAAATCATCTCTGAATTCGAGGAAATTTTCTTGAATGTTCATAATAAACAGGCATTTTTAATACTCATTCTCAAATTTCTTTCTGAAAACGGTCATTTGCCTCGTGGCAATGAATGCAGAATTCATTCCAATGATCAAATTGCAACTATCATATCAACATGAACTACAAACACTCTACTTAAAAAGGTGAAACTGCATTTATCATGATATTTATTATGAAGATATTTGACTAAAAAGTTCCAAATTTAACCTTCTTTTTCACCTGTCTTCTGGATGGCATTTGTAACAAATTTCCCTTTTTCTTTCATCATATTGGACAATTTATATATAATTCAACTATAAATATGATTTTCTTGAGATTAATCCATATTAAGTGAAAAGAAGGAAGAATATCATTCAAAATAATGGCGTGTGTAATGTCATTCGAAAGCAATCTATTGACATTTGACATCTCGTATTTTGATTGACTATTGATTAAATGGTCGTCATCTGGAATGCTTGTTCACTAAATATGAAAAACTCGCCATAAAAATCATATTTCCTGTTGAATTTTCTATATAAAAATGTGCCATCGAAGTACATCATGAGTATATAAAGTGTCCAATGACAAAATAAGAGCAAGTAGCTTCAAATGCCCCCAACACAAGGGGAGAAAGAAGGCGAAATTTCGAACTTCTCTTGAAATATCTCAATAAATAGTGGTTTGTTCATATTTTCATTATAAAATTCGGTTTATCAGACAAAAATACGTGGGTACCGAAAAAAATTTTCAAAAAAAAAACCATCGCATGATGAATGCAGTTTTACCCTTAAAAATTACGGTTTCAAGTGTAACGATCCACTTGGGTGAAAAATCCAACAACAGAAAATTGAAAACACTCACTGGTTATTTTTTCAGGTAATAGGAATTCTCCAAGATAAATATAGGTAATAATCAATAATAATATCAATCTCACGATAAGTTTATGTTCTGCGGGCCCTGTATAAGTAGGTGTGAAGTTTACCTTCACCACATTTTTTGCCAATATATTTAATTCGAATGTTGTTGCTGTAGGTGGATATTTGTGTTTTATCCTGGTTTTTGCTTTAAAACTTCGTTTTTCCATAATGAAATCGAATGGGGTGCAAAGAAGGGCTCAGTTGACGACTGGCATCCTTTTTTAACCGGAAGCCCTTCAAAAAACAGCAAAATCGGCTCAATGATGATCTAAAACTATAATCGAAATACGCGGTCGCCTTATAGCGCTATAAGCGCTTGTCGTTTCGAGCCGCTGGTTAGGCCTCACTAAGTGACGTCACCCACCTTGCATGCAGGCCTTGTTGTATCGGTGGTAACGCCTCGTAACAAAGGAACAGTTCGGGTTCCGCAAGGGGCACCGAATTGTTCACGAAGTAAAAGAGGCCAGCAATAACGACGAGAACACCGTTATGGAATGATGGACGTAGAGAGGCCTTTGACACCGTCTGGCACGAAGTTTTGATGTTCAAATTGTATAAGGCTGATATGCCGATTTTCATCATTAAAATTATCGATGCATATATCACCGACAGAAAAATCCGGGTTAGGGCAGGGCCTACTCTATCACACCGGGCCGGAGCATCGCTTTCGTGACGTCACACTAGTAGGGGTTGTACTGTCAACCTCGAAAGATGCCGAACAGCACTTCATTATCAAAACTCCTTCATCCATAGGACGGCTAGGCTATGGAATTCATTGCCTGAGGAAGTATTCCCAACAACATATAATCTCCAGAAGTTCAAACGAAATTCCAATACCTACCTCCTGTCCCTATCCTTCCTAGGAACGCACGATGTTCTTTGAACATTATAGGGATTTCCATTCGTGCGCTCCAAGCGATAAAAAAATAGTATAAGGTTCGAACTTTTGATCATAAATTCGATGACAAATTACAATGCAATTCATTTTTCCAGATCCTGTGTGTCCGTATCCTTCAGACGATGTCATCCAGTTATATGATCCGAAGAACTGTACTACATATTACGAGTGCAACAGAGGTATTAGAGTTAAGGCGATATGTCCACCAGAAGTTCCTTACTGGAACCACATCGAGAAATACTGCGATTTTCCGGAATATGTAGATTGCTGTGAGTTTCCATTTTATATTACCTTCTAGCACTCTGAAACATTCCATCTATAAATATTTCTCGACATGACAGTACTCTCGGAACGAATTGCAAGCGGCAAAGAAGTTCGATGTGGAAAGGACCCTTCAATGACTGTAGCATATCACATAAATACACAGAGCTCGAAGTCATTTCCACACAGTATTCATAAAATAAACAACATCAATAATAGATTTAGGGAGAAAAACAACTACTTTCCTGGCTAATGCCACGCAGAACATTGAATTACATCCCCTCGAAATCTATGCACCAACTCGTATAATGTTAACGTATAGTTAACAATGTTCAGTCAGGTTTTCGAAGTAAGTATAGCTGTGAAACAGCTTTCCAATGTGTTCTGGATGACTGGAAAAAAGTTTAGGAGCAAATCAAATGACAGGTGCTGTATTTCTTGACCTTCAAAGGGCTTTTGAAACTGTGGATCGTGATAGGTTGATTGAAAAACTTAAGATGTGTTGGCATCGAAGATAAAGCATTGAAATGGCTAGTTAATTATTTGGATAACAGGAAACAGAAACTAAGGATCAATGATACATTCTCAGGGAAGTGTTCTTGGACCTTTATTGTTCTTAATATACATTGATGATATCGTCGAAGCAGCAGGAAACTGTAAAATCCACTTTTGCTGATGACACCTTAATTTATTTCTCTGCATCAGATCCAGCGCTTTTGGTACAAGCTCTCAACAATTCAGTAAATCAAATACAAGAATGGTGCTGTGGAAATCTTTCGAAAATTAATGGTAAAAAAACTGAATTCATGCTCATTGCTAATCAAATAAATTATAATAAATTTCTTGAGGAGAAAATGGAGATAAAAATTGGTGAAGAAATAATCGAGTGGGTAGAAAAAATCAAATACCTTGGTATTATGGTTGATTATAGACTAACTTTCAAAGAACATGCAGATTTTCTAATAAAAACAATTTCTTTTAAAGTAAACTTTCTTTATAGATGTTCAAGATATCTCAATCAATGGACCAAAAGGATTATATACAACACTATCATACTTCCCCACTTCACTTACTGCTCAACTATTTTGTATTTACTAAACCAAAATCAGATATATATATTTCAAAAACTACAGAACCGATCAATGCGCATAATCCTTTCATGCAATAGACACACTCCGATTACGACATGAACAGACTAGAATGGTTGCCAGTTGAAGATTTTTTATTGTACCAGGCACTCATTTTTGTATACAAAATAAGCAATGGCACTGTACCGGACTACCTGAGAGATAAAGTGAACTATAATTTCGAATATCACCACTATGAAACGAGATCTAGAAGAGATTTCCACATTCCCCAGTTCCAAAAAAGATTCATGCAAAACTCGATATTTTTCAAAGGCTTAAGAGCATTCAACGAATTGCCAACTGCAATAAAAAGTGCACACTCTCTCAATTGTTTTAAAATCACTCTGAAAAAACATTTTGTGGAGGAAAGTAATCTCTAATGTGAATGATTGACTTTATTTTATTTTTATTGTACAGTATGTATGTAGTAATGTTGTTTGACATATTTATGTGTTTTATGTACAATGTATTAGTTTTTTATGACTAAATAAACGGATATATATAAACGAATACCTACTCATACAAGTGATTCTTGCCTGAATGCCTACGCTGGACAACTACAGACTGGTTTCTAGCTTTTTGACTCTCATCAGTGCAGGGCAGTCTCGCCATCTGAGTAGAAAAGAAGGAAAGAAATACTCCAAAACCAAAATTCCCTCACGGGAGTGGCTGGTTGCCCGACTGGTGTAATTTTAAGTACGAAATAGCCATGCACAATGCTCAAAGTGGAATGAAATGTTACCTACATGAATACAGAAAGCTCGAAGTCATTTCCACACAGTGTTCATAAAATGCACAACAATGGTACATTTCGGGAGAAAAACAACTACTTTCCTGGAAATGACTCCGAGCTTTTTGTGTTCATGTAACATTTCATTCCACTTTGAGCATTCTGGCTGGCAATTTCGTACTCGAAATTACGCTAGTGCAACCAGCCACTTCCGTATCCCTTACGCTCTGCACCCTCACAATTGTACGAGCATTACCTAAGTGTTTTTTAAGGATCAAAATATCATTTTGTTGGATTGAGAACCAGCCACTATGCTTGTGAGTGCTCTATTTGCACGCAACAAACCGCATTTGCTGCTTATTTTTTTTTCAGGCGGCGTAAAACAAAAAAATCATTGCGTGGTAGTGTGGTGCAATTGGTCTCGACTGAAAAATGTTTCCTGAAGGTGAGTGAATCAAAAACATCAACTATATATGATATTGTGAATGATTTTATGCATTGAATGGCGAATGAAAACATGATTCAAGATGGTGGTTCACAGTGTCTGTTTCCAAAATGTTTTTCGGGGTCAGATTTCAGGACATATTTGTGTACCATCACATTTGTGTGCTCCGGGAGCATACCGCTACGGATCAATGATCATTATCGATTTCGTTTCAAACATTTCAATGTGTCAAAACTGTCCTCCATCCAAGAATATTGGATTTCAAAAAGATCAAGATGACATTTACGATTTGTTGGATCGGATAGGATCATATCTGGAAATCGATTCCGATAAAGATGACCAGTGGGGGTTGAATGCACATGAACAAGTAGAAGTGCTGGAGGAATATTTGTTGGGTAAGTGGATGAAAATGCGAATAAACCAACCGTTCTTCTTGCAAATAGAGAAGCTTCTATTTCAACAAATGACAAAAGATATGATGAAATTGACCACTGGCCTGTCATTGATTCTCCGAAATCACCACGGACTTGCTGACTGGAAAGTTGCGGTAGCCGTTCAAGGACGAGATGTTAAAAATATATATATATATATATATATAACTCTTTATTAGCATACAAAGTGCTCTTCACAGAAAAATACAGAATAAGCAAAAAAAAACAACACAAGTATCACAAATAACAAAAGTCCTTCAAAAGACAAAAACAGGTACTATAATAGGTACAACCTATTAAAAGTTTCTATAGGTACAATATTAAAAATCAACTAGATACAACATATTAAAAGCTACTCTCATAACATATAATTTCATACTATTAAAACTGTTTGAATACATAGTCTCTGCATTTTTTTTGGAAAAGGGTCAAAGTCGTGAGGTTTTTTGCCTCAGAGGGTAAGCTATTGAAGAGTATTAAACCCTTATTAAATACTGTGTCACAGTGCATGTTATCCATTCGAATATAAAAATCATTTGCAGTTCGAGTTCTAGTCTCATGAGTGTGTACATTTTCAATCTGAGGTAGGTTGGTAACATACTGTTTTTCATCTTGAACACAAAGACCAACATATTGTAATGAATTCTTTGTTTCACAGTCATCAATGATAATGTATCTAACATATTTTTTATTGGAGTACGTTTGTTACACATGAGTATAGCTCTCATGGCACGATTGTGTGTTTTTTGAATTATGTTCAACTGGTCATTATTAAGAAAAAATAATAGGGTTCCACAATAATCGAAGTGAGGTGCTATTATAGACTTGTAAATAGTCAACTTAGAAAAAAAAGAAACTTCACCATTGAGCCTGTACAAAAGGTGGGTTTTTTTTGCAATCTTTTTCTTTGCATAATCACAGTGTGCATTCATATTCAATTCTTCATCAATCATTACTCCCAAGTACTTATAGGTTTTCACAGTCTCAATTATGACATTATTAATCATCAAGGTCATTTGAAACAAATCGTTTTTCAATGTTTTATGTTTGTTTCTGTTAGCTATCAACATACATTTGGTCTTTCCAAGATTCAGCATCAGTCCATTATCACACAACCATGAGAAGATACGACTCAAGTCCTCATTTAAAGATGAAAAATGCAATGTATGCCTATGCCTGTGCTTGACCAATAAAAGTAATTGTTTCGTCACTTTTCATAACAAACCATACACAATAAAATATATTTCTCCATGATTAGCGTATTCTTCATTTGTTGTTGAAATCCCATTTCATTCCCAAATAACACGATTGTGAGGGTCCTGAAAATGATATTACATCATCCTGAAAAAATTCGAAAAAAATTCAGGAAGTTTCTGAGGTTACTCTGAGTCACACCTGCTAGAAAAATTCTGGATATTCTTTCCAAATTATTCTCAGGAGTGTAAGGGGTATGGGAATTTTGGTTTAGGAGTGTTTCTTTTCTTCTTTTTTACTCAGATACCGTTCCTCTTATATTGTCTATTGGGGATGCCTTCGAGGGAATTTAATGCCGACTTGTGATTTTCGTTTGGCTAGGCTACGCTTAGTCGGTGGTCTTAGGACTGCTGGCTGGAGACTGCCCTGCACTGATGAGAGTCGAAGAGCTCGAAACTGGTCTGTAGGTGTCTAGCGTGGCGATAGGCATTCAGGAAAGAATCACTTGTATCAGTATTCGTTTATACGAGTCGATGCATAGATTTCGGGAGGATGTAATTCAATGTTCTGCGTGGCATTAGCCAGTAAAGTAATTGTTTCTCTCCCGAAATCTACCATTGTTGTTCATTTTTTTTATGAACACTGGGTGGAAATGACTGTGAGCTTTTCACATTTATTTACTATTTCATTCCACTGTGAGCACTGTGGCTATTTCGTAGTTCAAGCCACTATTTATTGAGATATTTCAAGAAAAAGTTCGAAATTTTGCCTTCTTTCTCCCCTTGTGTTGGGGGTATTTGAAGCTACTTGCTCTTATTTTGTCATTGGACACTTTATATACTGATGATGTACTTCGATGGCACATTTTTATATAGAAAATTCAACAGGAAATATGATTTTTATGGCGAGTTTTTCATATTTAGTGAACAAGTATTCCAGATGACGACCATTTAATCAATAGTCAATCAAAATACGAGTTGTCAAATGTCAATAGATTGCTTTCGAATGACATTACACAAACCATTATTTTGAATGATATTCTTCCTTCTTTTCACTAGATATGGATTAATCTCACGAAAATCATATTTATAGTTGAATTATAAATAAATTGTCCAATATGATGAAAAAAGAAGGGAAATTTGTTCTAAATGCCATCCAGAAGACAGGTGAAAAACAAGGTGAAATTTGGAACTTTTTAGTCAAATATCTTCATGATAAATATCATGATGAATGCAGTTTTACCTTTTTAAGTAGAGTGTTTGTAGTCCATGTTATTATGATAGTTGTAATTTGATCATTGGAATAAATTCTGCATTCATTGCCACGAGGCAAATGACCGTTTTCAGAAAGAAATTTGAGAATGAGGATTAAAAATGCCCGTTTATTATGAACATTCAAGAAAATTTCCTCGAATTCAGAGATGATTTTGTTGACTATAATATACGAATACAAAACTAACTGCACAATCAAAGCTTTTCTATTTTTCCTCTACTTATACTTTTTATGAGAGAGTAATTGTCTTCTATTATTAATTCATCATTATAAATTAAGCTCTGTTTACTACTGAACTTAGATGGAGTAAAATCCTCGCGGTGAATTGCATATACCCATACATTTTCGATAGCTCCTCGTCCAACGGGAAACTAAAAGCATGAACTTTTGAACCACCCACATAATTCCCTCGACAAAAAGGAACACAACACTTGAGGGGCAGTGTTATTTTGCCGATCACAACACAAAATATTTCACAAAACAGTAATTTTTCCGCCAATTATTTTGATGAATAAACAACAAAAGAATTCGGGACCGTTTCAAAAACATACGTGAATCATCGATGAATTAACACGAACTGTCGCGTTAGTCGACAAGCGATGAAATAAAACACTGGCCTCTCTTGGCGACGTCACGAGCTGTTTACGTCAGAGTCTGCTGGCCTTGTTGTATCGGTGGTAACGGCATAACGGACCAGAAGACATTTCTTGTTCAGCATGATTTGATCTATACAATCCTAGATTTTCACAAAATTTCACCGTAGACAAGATTTCAGTGTGAATGGTGCGGGGTCCTTTATGCTATATCTTCGGAATGATGGGTTTTGGGAATAAGGAAGTAGATTATAAGTTGGACCCATATTTGTTATGGAGGATTGAATTATGAGAAGAATAAAAAGTGGTTTCTATCTTGAAAAAAAAAAGAGATTTTCAATGTTACACATTTATATTTTGGGCCCACTTTTCTGTGCACCCTGTGAATTATTCAGTGGTTGTGATTATAAATGATCAGGGATTAATACTCACCCCTTATAGCTGAGCTGATTGAAAGTGAACTCATCTTATCAATTTTTGTTTTTTTATATCTGACTGTTTTTTTGTAGCACGAGGGGAAACAACATCATCAACGATCACGAGTAAGTAGATTTCTTACGTAATTTTGTACAAAATATCAGTATAGGACAACTATTTTGGGCCATTTGGTATATCAATATAGCCGACATCTAGTTTCAACAAATAATTTTGATTTTCTGATTAGATCTTCCTCTATGTTTTGTATTTTTTTTCTCGAGTCTGCGATACATAAACATATAGAATTCGTGAATTCCTACCAAATTGGAAATATAACAGTGGAATATTTATGCCTAGAGATCGATATTATGGATATCTCTCGAAATGTTGATAGATTCTCACATCAAATTTCTTTTATAATGAGTTGGTATCAATACTATCAATGATGATTTTGCTCCTGATAGAATGTACAACTATAAGAATCATATTCTCTTATATTCCAGCTACACCTTCACCGACTCCAGCTTCAACTGGTAAGAATATCATCTGATAATTTTCCTCAAAAAAATCCATCTACTTCGTCGTACTGCTTATGCTATCATTGAGTTCATAAGAAATAAAATGATGGATTTATATTGAGCATGTATACATAGATCACATCACACAACGGATATTAACAACATTTTAGATTTATGTCTCTTTTGGTTCTCTATGAACATTCAATAAATTAGTTAGTTGAATGACCCTGTATATTCACAATTGGAGCCTATGATTGATCGACAATCCAGAGATTATATCTCATCATATTTCAGCAACTCTTCATCTTCTTCAAGTACATCATCGTCTTCAGCTTCATATGGTTAGGAAAGCCAACTGAATATTTTACTAGAACTTGTTTGAGAAAAGTTAATTGTGCCACCGCTATGGAAACTGAGGATTTCAGTTTATGTGAGCTTCGCTAAATATCCAAATATCGAAAAAAAAAAGGTCAACAAATTGGTCGCCCTGTAACTTTTTTTATTATTCCAGTTGTACGATTCTGGTGAAATAACAATCAAGTCGTAGACTGATGTTTCGAAATGGTGAACCTGAATTTCTGGTCCCAAAAATGCTGATGGCTTCATAATTTTACAGGAATAAACAAAAGTTGCAATTTTACGCCTAATTTCTATACGCCCTGTGGCAAAAGTCATTTTGCATTGAAGTGTGCACGGAAAAAAAGTTTTGTTGCATCAACAAAATAATTTGTGTAATTTTTTTTTTTGTTAAATTAAACACAATTTTGCGAAATATACAAATTATATGTTCATTCTGAATAAGCAATCTAGTCAAAGAGACAAAATAATTTGATTGAAATATTTGCTTACTTGAACAAAAGTTTCATTCCATTCAACAACATTTATAGTATAGAATTTCTTATGACGCTTATACAAGCTGATGGTCTTAAATCAACTGAGGATATTGATCTCTTTTTTCTCTTAGTTTTGAAATTCAGTTTATTGGATTTTTTTTAATATCATTCAGCAAAATATGTTGTCAATTTTGAAGACAATTTGGTTGATCGGAGAATATATATTGTTATTTTAACTCTCTGAAAAACTGAAAATGTTGCCACTTGACTGATAATCATTTCAATCAACAGAATCGTTCATAAGAGAAGATATTGTATTATAGGAACAAAATAGTCTTTGTTTATTTAACCAATTCCTGCTGTTAATTTGAATCATTAATGAGTCACCTCAAATGATTTTCGAATTGAGAACTGACAACAAACATTTGTTGCGGTGACAAAATATTGAATATAAATATATTGTTATGATTTGTGATATACTATGAAAAACTATTTCCTTCCTGCAGTATTTACCTTTCTAGCTTTACCTTTTTAATCCAATCGGCGACTCCTTTGTAGAGATGATCGTCGTAACCTCAGGAGGGTTGCAGTTGGGCCTTCTCGTTGCTTGATGTCAGATATATTTTTTTTTTATGTTATAATCATATATTAATAAATTGAAATATTGTTTTCTGAGAATTGTTCAGTTATTTTTTTATTCAAATTAAATTAACGTTTGGAAACAATATCTCTGTGAAAATGCTCACAAAACTTATTCTACCTATTCTCTGGGAGAAAACTAACTTATATTCTATATCAAATTTGAATCAGAATTGTCCAAATTATAAGTTATCTAATAAAATCTAATGTCTGCTCATTTGCATAAAATTGATCAATAGATGAGCGAAAACCTCAGTATCGTTAAAGTCTGTATCTAGAATGTTCTTTTCATTTCATACCAAAATTTGATAAATAAACACAATTTTGAATGTCTTGATTGTGTAACTGCGTTTGAATACAAAAAGTTCCGGGAGTATTGATAACTTTTCAACAATAATAGCACTCACTTTGCTAGTCCTCGATCCTGGATGATATCTTCAAATACGTAAGAAACTTGTGATGTGGGTTTCTTATCAGGAAACTCTGCGTCTGCTCTCTGCTCACTCTTGGAAACTCAATCTCATTTTTGATGAAAACACTATTCCAAAAACTTTCCTCTATATGTTCTGGTTTCACCACTTGAATATGTTTGGTATATGTAATTTTTTAACTGCTGCTTGTTATTTCAATGAATTTCGATCATCAATTTTGAACTCTCCATCCCAAAATTCCAAATTCTTCCCTCCTTTCTTTCTTTCTTTTTCAATAAATCTCCTGGAAACTCTACTCTCGTTTTTTCTCGTTCCACTATCCAATCATATTCATGATTTCCTTTCCTATTTCACTATTGACATACCTCTTATAACAATGCTTCCCTACTGACTACATTATAGCACAAATTTTATTCCAAATATTTTTTCCAAACCTCAATTGATTTCAAATTCATCAGACACATTCCTCCTTTTCGTTTCCTTCTCAAAATTTATATTTCTTCTTGTTTCAAAATCAAAACTATTGACCGCTGTCATCTTTTATCGTATTTTTCAGTCTGACATCCCTCTACAGAATGTTCTTCTTTATGTGAAAATAATAATTTTGCGCTCTTTTCAAAATACCTACACTATTTAACCAAGACTGAATAGAATAATAATATCAGTATAGAGCTGTGACTAGTAAACTTAATCTATTTGCTCTGACCGAAATGGCAAAACTAAAAATGCATACACTCAGGAAAAATTGAATTTCATAGCAGGTTTTCATCACATTTATATACATCACATATTGGATATCATAACAATATTTTGTTGAATTCACAAAAATTTTGTATTCTCAAACAATTTTTTTTCTGCGCGATATCCTTTCAACACAATGGTTTTTGATTCACGTCAATATCATCTTTTTGAGAGAAGATACAAGTGTGGATTGATAATGATAATTACTCCACTGTGTCGTTAGGGACCTGAGGTAATTTTTGCTACACTTCTAACGCATTTTTTATATAAATAATGAGACTATGCGTTGTTCGAAACTGTTGAATTCCAGAACTCATTTCAAACGTACTGTCATGGCCGCCATTTGGTGATACGTCGAATGAATGGTGAGGTCAGTTTTTATGCTGTTTCGTCATTGGTCAGATAATCTCCCATTCCCACTCACGAAGCAAGGTTGTCAAGTCACTAATTATAACCAAGTTCAAAAGAAAACAAGCCCGTCTTCAAAGTCTTTAATTAAAGTGTGGTCGACCGACTTTGAGCTACTTCTTTTCTTTCGAACATACTTTGGACCACTTCGAAAAATGGATGATTTTCATGATTCATAATCAAGTTATCGATAAGATGTGAAAGTCCTGTCGTTGAATGAAACATAATAGGAGGAATTCTTGACTTTTTCAAGAAACCAGCATGTGCAAATATTGCTTATACTCCATAACAAAATATCATGTTGGAGACTTGGCATTATTGTGCAGAATGCTGATAACTGACAAGACCACGCCCACAATTCGTGCGCCGTGTTGTCATGTTTACCGCTACAAATATGTGAATCCATATAATTATTATTTACAGAAATCTATTATAAGCAATGAGCCACAAATCATAAGAGGACATTTTAGTCCAATAAATAAAGGGAAAAAGTTAACATTAATTACGCACTATTTTCATCTTAGGGTTGGAAGTAGCTTTTGGTACCTCATTAAACATGAGACAAAGTTTGACTGGAAAACGCGTGCGATGGCGGAGAAAATGTACCCAAAAGACCAGAAAAATAGGTTTTCAGCCAATATCTCCTAAAATATGGCAGTTAGAGATTTTCGGTTCAGATAAAAATTGAGGTTCAGTCAATTTTATACAAAAATGGTCCTTATCATTTTTCTCGAAAATTTGCCTGGTTTCGAGAAAAGCGGCACGAGGCGCACCTCGAATAATGAGCTTCTGTGTGTTGTATGCCGGAGAACACAGTCGGCGGGGGGACAAATTATTCAATAACTTTGTTAAAAATGCATATTTCCTCATGATTCAAAGTTCATGTGAAAGAGGAATTCTGCTATCATACCCTGTGAATTGAATCACGCTTGACTCTTTTGGCCATATCGGAACATGGGTCAAACTTTCTGCTCCCGGTCAATTTTGACCTCGCCAGGAATTTGTTCCTATTTTTTTGTATTGCACTAATTTACTCAAAATTCTCTTGATTATGGGTCCTCATAAGGTCCTTTGTCATCCCTGGAATTTGTATACCCTAATTTTTTTTAATTTTCATTCAATCTTTGTTTATTGAATCCCAATTTTTTACTGTTTTTGGAGCGCGGAGAAATTTTGTGAACAACCATCAATTAAAAATTTATACATGATACGATTGGTTTCTATGGGCCGTACATCATTTGAAAGCTAAGAAGGTCTACTTTCGATTGTGCAATTACTTTTTTAGACGAAGTCGTCCATTTTTCAATAAAATTAGAAAAAGCGGGGTCGAGGAAAAACGCACTTTTTTTCGGTGTTTTTTTTCTCCGTGCTCTTCATTTCTAACATTTTAACACCTCAACTAGTGTAACGGGGAAATTCCCACCTTTCCATCGATGTATATGAGTCATACCTTCGATATCCCGAGAAAAAAAAACAGTATATCTAAATGTACACGCTATAATTTATTACTTCGTTCCTCCGTCCCGCGTGTGCTCTACGTGGCGCTCGGGTCGTCTGCTCAAACCATGCGGCCACGCAGGGTATGATAGCAGCAGAATTCCTCTGTCACATGAACTTTGAATTATGAGAAAATATGCATTTTCAACAAAGTTATTGAATAATTTGTCCCCCCGCCGATGTGTAAATACACGGACTGTGCTCTCCGGCATACAACAGAAGCTCATCATTCGAGGTGCGCTTCGTGCCGTTCTTCTCGAAACCGGGCAAATTTTCTAGAAAAATAATAGGGACCATTTTTGTAGAAAATTAACTGAACTTTAATTTTTATCTGGAACGAAAATCTCTAACTGCCATATTTTAGGAGATATTGGCTGAAAACCTATTTTCTTGGTCTTTTGGGGCCATTTTCTCCGCCATCGCACGCGTTTTCCAGTCAAACTTTGTCTCATGTTTGATGAGGTACCAATAGCTACTTCCAACCGGAAGATGAAGATAGTGCGTAATTAACGTTAACTTCGCCTTTTTTCCTCCTTCATTTATTGGACTATTTTAAGACAATTGATGTTGTAATGCTAAATAGGAATATTACCAATACAGTATCGTGAATTCATGCATTGTTGAATTACTAATATTATTGAAGTTTCCGATCGTATTCCAGTTCAGTTCAGTTTCAGTTTCTACTTGCGGGGAATTTATATCCGTTTGAGAATAAATGTGGCATTATTGATGATCATAGCACCAAGAAATCGACCAAAAAATTCTGAAAAAATACGAGATTGGAAGGTATTCGAGTGATGATTATATTGATAAAAAAAATAGTCCAGCCGCCTATTGTCACTGACAAGGCCGGACAAAGGTAAATGAGTCTCAGGAGTTCAACCCAACGATCAACGATGCTATAGGTCCTGCATTATTTTTCATGAAAATTTTAAAAATCCAAGCTTTCTCAAAACACTTGTATCTTCTCTGAAAAGAAGGTATTGGCATGGATCAAGAACCATTGTGACGAGAAGGGACAAAGAGAGGTCAAACTAAAATTCAAAAGATGATAAAGCAGAAGGTTGGAGAGTTATTGTTAATATAGATTGAAAAATTCCATACTCCTTCAGAACACTTGAATCTTTTTCAAAAAAGGAGATATTGACGTGATTCAAGAACCATTGGGTTGAAAAGGGATCAAACCAATCATCCAATCAATCCAAAACATGATTGAGCTAAGTTTAACCACCCACCTTTGTCGAATGGGTGGAAGAGTAACTATTTTTCCCCGTATACTGATAAAGCCATCAGCTTTTCACAAGAATTAAATCTCAACCTAACACTCTGAAACTTTGATCTACGATTGGGTCGAAATTTCATCAGAATCAGACAAGAATTCGAAGAGTTACAAGGCGATCAATTTGGTAAAATTTTTTGCAGGCGTTTTTTTTGCCGGTGAGTGTATATTCAAAATTGCATCCTGACTTTTTGACAATAGACCAGTGGACTATTCCTTATCTTCATTCCTCAAATAGAATAATCACTCAAATACCTTTCAATTTCATGTTTTTTAAGATTTTTTTCTGTCGATTATCAGGAGGTAAAATCATTCTCAACTGAATATTGGCAATATTCCTGATTAGCAATAAAAATTTAATTGTCTTCAAAAGGCCATTCGACTCGGTGAATGTGACAACCGCATCGCACGACTTCTGGGCGTGGTCTTGTCAGTTCTCAGCATTTAGCACAATGTTGCCAAGTCTCCAAAATTCACCTTATATTTTGTTATGGAGAATGAAAAATATTTGAACATGCTCGTTGCTCGAAAAAGTCAAAATGAACTATTTATAATATTATTAGTTCCTCCTATTATGTTTCATTCAACGATAAGACTCTACCATATTTTCGATTATTTGATTATAATTGGTGACTTGACAACCATGCTTCATGAGTGGAAATGTAAGATTATCTGAATAATAACGAAACAGCATAAAAACTGACGTCTCGTCAAATGGCGGCCATGAAAGTTCGTTTGAAATGAGCTCTGAAATTCAACCATTTCTAACAGCTCATAGACTCAATATTTACATAAAAGGAGTGTGAGAAGTCATCGAAAAATTAATTCAGGTTCCTAACGACATAGTAGAGAAATTGAATGCCAATAATTTATCATCAGTTCTCTCGCCCATTCTGATTTGATTCCTTCATATTTCAGCAACTTCTTCAATATCTTCAACACCTTCCCCAGTAACATCACCGTCTTCAGCTCCAACTGGTGAGGAAAATTGACTAAATATTTCAGCGAAATCTGTTTGTATTCTTTTTATCGCAATTAAAATATACACCTCATGAATTCAGAATATATTCAAAGATGTTATACCATGTATGTTTCGATAATGTCTGATTTCTGATGGTATTGTCATTATGTCAAATTCTTGTCTTTAACAATTTTGAGACTGGTGAGTAAATCATCATTGTCATCTTTATCAACAATTCCCGTCATAGTTGATTATGCGCCAATATCAATTCATCTGTTGAATATCAATTATTGTCCAATCAAAATTTTCAATATACAGGGTGTCCGGAGATAAAACCGACAAGACTTGTGGGGTTATAGGGACTGTCAATATGATTGCAGAATGCCACAAACCAATGTCCAATACCGCTTCGTTATTGACATACAGAGTGATTTGTGGATTTTGACAAAAAATTCAATCCGCCATATCAAATACGGAGATTAACCGATTAGATTCAAATTTGGTACACGAATTACACTAAAAAGCATCAACAAGTAGCCCTTCGATCAAAACCAATATCAGGACCGGAATGATATTTTTCCCCAATGTTGAATTATTGTGAGAATTACTCACCCTGTATAATAATAACCAAAAATTTCAACTCAGATTCGACATCTACGGTAAAAATTGTATAGGAATTTGTTGAAGAATCTCTTGACACTATCTTAGTTATTCCGTAATTAATTATTATTTTAATTTTTTTCTTTCAAAATTCAATTATTGTCGGATAAAGTACTATCAAAATTGGTAATATAATAAATATTAACAAAACCATGACATGAATATCGTTATTTTCTTCAATCAGTCCGTAAATCGTAGTGAAATAAAATACTCTCATCACCCGAAAAAACTGAAAAATAAATTCGTATCAGGACTGGAATGCGGTTTTCTATGATCATATTCCTGTAAGAATAGATGATCTAGCATAACAATGATCTGATCGCAGATTCGGAATGCACTTTTGAAAAAATGATCGGATTGAACTTTCAAATAATAAATTCGTATCAGTACCTTATAATGTTTGTGTATAAAGAATACTAGGCTTGTGTCAAATTCAGAATTTCATTATGGAAAACCATTGTTCAGCTGTCATCAGCGTTTGTTTCATTGGTGTTCATTCATTATTCCAGTGTTTTTAGGATCAAACTATAGTTCTGAGAGTGTGCTTATGATGCCATTTAATTTCACTTATGAGGAATACGCAGATATTCTATTTGTGTTTGGGCTTTAACTGGTGATGTTTACCTAAATTTCCTGGTCAATACTTGACCGGATCTATTGCAAGGTGATGTAAATACCTGAGGTATATGGTTCCAGCATGATGGTGCTAGACCTCACTTTTCCGTTCCAGTTAGAAACCATCTCGATGCCAATTACCCCAATGGATGGATTGGCCGTGGAGGTTCAGTAAATTGGCCACCGCTATCCCCTGATCTTACTCAGCTAGATTATTTTTTATGAGGTCATTTAAAGTAAGAAGTTCATAATGAAGAAATTTTTTATGGGGAATTACTGCTGCATGTGTTAGTGTTAGAAATAACCCTCAAATAATTCGCAAGTCAGTGAATCATCTAATAGCACGCTCTCAAAAATGTATTGATGTTGGAGGGCTCTACTTCGAAAATTTTCTGTAATACTGGGTAGTGAAAGTTTTTCACGAATTCGTTGCTTTTGTTATGTTCATTACAAACAGTTATTGTTCGTTGTGTAGTATTCTCATAAATTCAAATTCATTAGTGAGCGAATATAATTTACGAAAACTTCACTTCAATCCTTCTTTCACAGGTTCTTATACGATTTTTTTAGATTCCGAATCTACGATCAGATTATTGATAACTATTGATGTACTAGGTCAGCTAACATGACCAAACAAAACACTCATTCCAGTCCTGATACGAATTTATTCTTCAGTTTTTTCGGGGTATGAGAATATTTCATTTTACTCCGATTCATGAACTGATCGAAGAAAATAACGACATTCATGTCATGGTTTCGTAAATATACGTACTTTACCTGACAATGATTGATTTTTCAATGAAAAAATCAAAATAATAATTAATTACGGAATAACTAAGATGGTGCCAGGAGATTTTTCAACAAATTCCTCTACAATTTTCACCGTAGATTGCGAATCTGAGTTGGAATTTTTGATTATTATGATACAGAGTGAGTTATCTTAACAATAACTCAACATAGGGGAAAAATATTATTCCGGTCCTGATATTGGTTTCGATCAAAGGGCTACTTGTTGACGCTTTTCAGTGTAATTCGTGTACCAAATTTGAATCCAATCGGCTAATCCCTGTATTTTATATGGCGGATTGACTTATTTGTCAAAATCCACAAATCACTCTGTATCTCAGTAACAAAGCCGTTTTGGACATTCGTTTATTGCATTTTGCAATCATATTGACAGTCCCTATAACCCCATGAGTTTTGTCGGTTTTATCTCCGGGCACCCTGTATATCCCAATATTCTTGGATATTTGTCAAAATGTTTGTCATGGAGTGTTTGTCATGGAGAGTTTGTCCCATCTAAATTATTCTGAAAATTTCACACCTATTATTCTTGACCAATTGAGAGCCCGTATTTTGTGTCGTTACCAAAGCAACTGAACACATTTTCGGATTTTTTTCCATCTCCTTAGGGGAAGGAGCATGGAATTATACTGGAATTTTTTTTGACGTTTATAGGTTGAATGACATTTAAATCATATTACGTCGAATTAATTCCATAAGTTGTTGACTTCTTTGTAAGAGAATATAACCCTACCAGCTTCATCAAAATTAATTTGTTGAATACTGAGAGATTGAGCTATAATATCGACTTATCCTTCTTCATTTTATCCAACTGAAGTCGTTCAATCATATTTTATTTAACCTCATGATATAACGTGTGCAAATTTATAATTGATAATGAATAGTGCCTCGAGTTTCTTGTGCGGAAATATATTTCTACCAACTTCTAGTAAAATGAATTTGTGAAACACTGAGAAATCGGTGTACTATCGACGTATTTTTCATTATTTCGTGTACTAAAGTAAGTTAATTGTGATCTATTAAACCTAAGAATGTTATGGATATGAATTATATTAATACTACACACTGTCAAGTTTCTTGTAACAAAATATATCTCCACCAACTTTACTATAATAAAGTTTGAATAATAGTTCGAACTACTACCAGCTAGCTGCCTAATTTATATTTCGCGTAACTGAAGTCGGTATACAGGGTGTTTCATAATTGAATGCTGATCCTAAAGGGCGATAATCCTTGGTTGATTTCAAGGGAAGTTCTTCATGTGAACATAGGTCCGTAACAGCTTCGTTTCTGGTATACAGGATGTTGAAATTTAACAAAAAAATCAGTTATTCCCCAATATCTCTGAAACCGCTCTGGTTTTTTTCTTCAATTTTGGTACATGCAAGTATGAATAGAGATACATTTTTTCCATAATGAAGGATTTCTTAATTTCCATCAGTGGCGTCCCTGTTAACATACCCTGTCATATTTTTCATCAAAATAATAATACGCCACTGTCTTTTTTCCAAATAAATATTATTTTTGTATTTATCCTCTATCTTCTCATAAAAATGGCCTCCTGTCTTTTTTTCGTCCAGCGAACGGTTTTTTAGTTAGAAAATAAAATGCATTCATTTGCTTGTCCCTATTCGATTTTTACTCTTAGTCATAATTTCACAATTGTGGTGACCAAAAGATCTAAGCAATATTTTTATAATTTTATGGTAACTATTTTTAAGTATTTGTAATGAAGAAAAAAGCCACAGCGGTTTCAGAGATATTGGGGAATAACTGATTTTTTTGTAAAATTTCTCAGAAACGAAGCTGTTACGGACCTATGTTCACATGAATAATTTTTCTTAAAATCATCCAAGGATTATCGCCCTTTAGGATCAGCATTCAATTATGAAACACCCTGTATATTGTATTTCATCTAGCGTAATCTCATCCTAGAATTTTTTTTAATATCGGTGTGAAATTTTCTTATCAAGTACCACTCTAGCTTCAATTAAAAACCTGAAATTCTTTCTTGAACACGAATATTCCTCTGCCACTCGGGACTATTATCAACATATTCGTGGTCTCGAAGAAATTTCCTGTAATAATTGAAGCTCCAGTAGTGAAAAGTGAAAAAAAAAACTATCCTTGACATCTATAAGACAAAATGTCAATAGTTACATCTTCATATCATTTCAATTGTCTCGTATTGGTTTTGGTTTTCAATCCATCCAGTACAGTGATTCTAAAATAACGAAATTTGTACAGCCTCAACAACATTGGATCCAAGTTGCCCGTATCCATCAACTGAAAAAACATATCTGGTGTATCCCTATGATTGCAGCCGATACTATCTTTGCGTCAATGGTGAGAAAACGGTAGAAGATTGCCCAGAGGGTTTTCTTTTTGATGACATCAACCTAAAATGTGACTTCAGCGATAACGTAACCTGTGGTGAGTATATTTATGTACCTGAAAATCTTAACGATTAATTTAATAAAGAAATAGAACAGATGTCTGTGTTACCTTAGTAAGTAGTAGTAGTAGAAATTTGAATCGAGTTAGTGATGATATGAATATTTGTTACAGATCATGCTTCAACACTTCACCCATATCCTACGACAAGTAAGTACAATGATTATAGCGAACAGTCAATCTTTTCCTCAGCAAATATAAAGGAATTAGGTATATCTGCAGTTTGTCCGATGAAATTCAGAATCTAACTATAAACTTTTATAAGTATCGAAATTCCATTTGGGAGCATTAATCAACGTTTTCCGTCGACCTCTTATTAACGACTAAGTTTAATGTATATGAAATCGTTCATTAATGACCCCTATTAATGAACGATTTGTCTATTAATGTACGATTGTTTTATAGGCAACCAAACATACACCGCGTGCATTCATTGTTTATGCTATAACTTACGGAATCTGCATTTAAATCGAAAATATGGATTTCATCGAAGATTTTCCGTTAACGGGTTCGCCTTTCCAAGTTTCTGACACGATATTAATCCCTCTTTTGTAACACAAGGAATTTATTTCCTATGTTGATCATTTCGACAAATGTCAAATGTGTCTAATGTCAGTAACAAGGCTATACTGGGTGATTCTTAGCAGTATCCGGATGGATGATGATTTGGCGAACCAAGTTTTCTTCATTGCAGGAGAAATGAGAAATATAGTCGACGGAAAAATTTTGTAACCAACTTGAATATTAAAAGGCGATTAATGATCTCGAACATTAACGCACTCGCTTCGCTCGCACGTTAAAATATCTCGATCATTAATCGCCCTCATTAATACACTAGTTGGTTAAATAACTATTAAACAATCATTCACCAGTCACGAGAATTGATATTTATCGTTTGTTTCAGCTTCCGAAAACCCTGACATTACAAGTGAGTACAAGTTTTTTCACTTAATTACACGAGTGCTTTTATTTTGTCGAAGTAAACTTGACATGTATCAATAAGAATTTTGTTGCCTGGCAATTTTTCGAGTTGAATTACCTTATGGCAACAAAATTCGAATCATAAATGCCAAGTTTACTTCAACAAGAAAAAGCTATAGTGTAATTCGGTAAGACAATTCAATTCATCAAACATTTTGTTGATGGCTGGTTGTCATGCTTCCAAAAGTATTTCGTTATTGTCGCTGGAAAAGTTAGGGCAAACTTTTTTCGCTGTCGTAACGACAAAATCACGTGGCTTGTCGCATCAATTACAATAGCTGTTTTGTATATTATAGTATTACAGAATAGAACGGAAAATAATGAATGAGTAAAAGAATATTGGCTTGCCCGGGTTTGAACCAGCCAGCCACTTGATAAGCTGCGCTTCAGACCTTCGTATAAATCAATAAATGACTACTTGAATAATAATCTCAAACCAAGGAATAAAGAAACTGCTATTCTGATTACGAACAGCGTGAAGTATACTTAGTTGAAATTCACCTCGTTAACTATCACAAAAGCTGTCAAATGATGACATTTCATGAGAAAAATGAAGTTTTTCTACTACTGCTATAGAAAGTAGCGCATTTCTCATAGTTGACTTAGTTTCAGAACCATGTATTGCCCATATACTGTGAGAAATATTTTTTCTCACGGCACTTTGCCAACAACACATACATTTCCATGGAGAATCAATAACAATCGATCAAAACTTGGCTGCTGTCCAGCTTTGAATAGTTGTCACAACTGTCAGAAGAAGGTTTTCAAATTCTTTGGGGTAGTTCTCATTAGTGCTTTTGATAGAAATCGAATTATCCATCAAATATTGTTCCAACAATTCATAATAAATAATATGATGTATATACCGAGATGTGACGATTTTGATAAATACACCGCAAGAGACAGAGATAATGGAAAAAGCAGCGAAAGTTGGATTAGTTGCCGAAAATTTCAAGAAAAAATTATGAATTGGCATATTGGTACGAAAAATTTATGGAATCCTAAAATATACAGAAATTAATTCTTCTTCGGAAAGTGTACTTTTTTGAAATACTTTGAGGAATTAGGAAAGGCGGCACAATATTCAATGTGGCATAGTGCCACATTATAGAAATAAATAACAATAAGTTACATTACTCGGATTCTTTGAATATGTACAGTTTAGAAAAAGTATAGTGTGCAACATGTGAGGAAAAGCACTTTTTCCACTTGTTGCACAATATATTATTGTGTTGGGATTCGAAAACGTCGAAGTCTACTCTGTTAATCGGTTGTAGAAAAAAATAATTACTGAGTATATTTCTGATGAATAAAGATATTGGTCTTTTGAGAGAAGCTTAGTTGAGTTTGTGTTGAGCAGTACTCAATGTGGAATGCTGTTGATTTGACTCAAAGAGATTATTATTGGTACCCATACTGACGGTTATTTGTGTTAATGTTCTAGCCACATCTACAGCATCTACAGCATCTACAGCATCTACACACCCAGGAACAACTGGTAAGGATATACTTTTTCGTGTTTTAGAGAACAGCATTCAATAACAAATATGTAACTAAATCATCAGATCAATAATATAATTGATGATATATCGTGATCATCTCATCGAAACCCACTCATAAACTGTGCGATACTATAGGTATCATACAATTCGCGTATAGTGTGACGATTTATACCGCTTTGTGGTCTGACACTGAATAGTGTGGAATTGACATTGACCATATAAGTTACATTTGATAAAAAGTGTCTCCTGACTTGCCCAATTTTGTATTCAGTTTTTCATATTGAGTTGAAATAGGATCAATTCTCAATTCACAAGTCACAAATTAAGTACCACTTATCGAACACCTAGCTTCCCAGGTAGAACACTGAGGCACATACAAGGTGATTCTGAAATAGGTGGTCAAACTTTGGGAGTATATAGAGTGAGTGAAATAATTACGAAAACCTTGGTAACATTTATTTCTGAAGTGCCCCCCAAGAAAGATACAGCCCCTCAAAGGGGGGCCTCGGAGAATGATTTTGTATTATTATCTACAACACCTTGTATGATGAGAATCTAAAATTTTGTTTATCCACTAACTATTCAGTGCCGGTTCGAATGGAGTTCAAATCACCTCAAAATTAAATACAGGGGTGTGTCAAAATAGGGAGGTAGGGGGTAAAAATAATCCCAACTTTTTTGTTCATCGCAATTTCAGTTTTTTTACATGAAATTATGAAATCTCAGGGCTATTGACATAGAATAGGAGCTCTTGTTAAATCTTGATAAACTGAACCATTAGCTAATAAAATTTATTTTTCCGAGATTTCATTTAAATTGCAATTTTGGTGCACTTAAGTTTAATTATCTAGTTCAAATCTTGCAACTGAATGTTTACCTACTTCTAATCATCTGATCATCATGGAATCTGGCAGATGACAGTTGACAACGCGTTACGGACTTTTTGATAGAAAAAAATATGGCGGCTCCAATGTGGCTGACCAGATTCGTGATTATGGTCCGATTCGATTCAGAATTGGTTTGTAAGGGTTTTTGGGGTTGGGAATTTTGAATTCGTTGTCGGAATTCATGAATTAAAAATATACGACAGGATTCGTGATTATGGTCTGATCCTATTAATAATACTAAAATAAAAAATATTGTTGAGAACAAGCTTTTTTAAATTTTATTCGCTAATAGTTCATTTTATCGAGATGCAACTAGAGCACTTTTTTTATGTATATAGCCCTGAGATTTCATAATTCCATGTCAAAAAACTGAAATTGTCATGAACAAAAAATTTGGGGTTATTTTTACCCCCTACCTCCCTATTTTGACACACCCCTGTATTTAATTTTGAGGTGATTTTAAATCCATTCGAACCGGCACTGAATAGTGAGTGGATGTACAAAATTTCAGATTTTCATTATACAAGGTGTTGAAGATAATAATACAAAATCATGCTCCGATGCCCCCCTTTGAGGGGCTGTATCTTTCTTGGGGGTCACTTCAGACAAAAATGTTACGGAGGTTTTCGTAACTATTTCACCCACTCTATATGCTCCCAAAGTTTGACCACCTATTTTAGAATCACCTTGTATAACTCTCATAAATAAATTCCATATTGAAATTATATTAGCCTATCATTTTTGTTACAATATTCAATTTAGGAATTCGAAGCCATATTAACGGCATTAAATAATAGCGATATTGGTTCAATATTACATCAGCATAATATATCGGATCCATCTTCATTTTCTGTATCCCAGAATACGAAGTTGAACGAATGCTGCAGTATTTGATGCCTCTGAGCAGTCGTTCGTTGGAGACGTGCTAGGGGCGCCAGCTGTTATAACGTCGCTCAAATACTAGAAGAAATATTACTGATATCGATTTGATATCAGGAACCAACAACTACAGGCCAATTGCCCTGTTATCAGTAATCTCCAAAATGATGGAGAAAGCCATCAATATTGAGCTTACCAAATATCTGAAGAGCTCAAGAATCATCAATGATTGACAATACGGCTTTCGCCACTGAAGATCTAGTGGAGATTTACTTGCCTACGTCACCCATTTATGACAAGCTCCATTAGAAAAACACGAGGAATCTCCAGCTGTCGCGTTGGACATATCGAAAGCATTCGACCGTGTTTGGCACGAAGGACTCCCCCACAAACTACCATCATACGGCTTACCACCTTAGCTATGCCATCTCTTATCGAGTTTTCTTTCAGGCAGATCGCTTCACGTGATGGTGGAGGGTGTATCGTCTGATACCTATGGCATCAATTCTTACGTTCCACTAGGATCAATTTTGGCACCAACATTATTCCTTCTTCATATCAATGATCTGTTGAGAGTTACAACTTGCCCCATCCACAGCTTTGCAGATGACCCTCCATACTGCGTTCTCTCCCGGAATTCCCATTTCTTCCCTGGAAACTAAGAACTCACGGCGCAGGCAGGTCAATGCTGTCAATGAAGACCTTGCTGAAATCACAGCCTGAGGAACCAACAACCTAGTTGAATTCAACGCCACCAAAACTCAAGCCTGTATTTTCTCTAGGAAGGCGGAACTCAGTATGCCCGATATTGTAATGTCTGGCACCACCATCCCCACCAAGCCCACCATATCTATGCTCGGTATTTCCATCAGCAATTCTCTTTCATGGGATAATCATGTCAGATCTATCGCAGAAGCTACTTCACAAAAACTCGGATTCTTGTTCCGTGCGAAAAGCTACTTTACACCTCAACAGCTTCTCATGATCTACAAAGCGCAGATACGGCCTGTTCTAGAATACTGTTTCCACATATGGGGTTCAGCACCAAAACATACGCTGATGCTCTTAGATGCCATCCAGAGAAGAGCCAATTCACTCACTCTTTGACATCATTGGTACACCGTAGAAAGGTCGGCGACATTTCAATTTTCTATCGATACTTCCACGGAAAATGTTCTTCGGAAATCTCTGCTATTATTCCTTCACTAGCAATACCAGTCAGACGAACTAGACAAGCCCAGTCAGCACATCCTTTCGTTGTCAACCTTGAAAGATGTCGAACAGCACTTTATCAAAACTCCTTCATCCATAGAATGGCTAGGCTCTGAAATTCATTGCCTGAGGAAGTATTCCCAACAACATATAATCTCCAGAAGTTCAAAAAAAAATTCAATACCTACCTCCTGTCCCTATCCTCCCTAGGAACGCGCGATGTTCTTTGAACATTATAGGGATTTCCTTTCGTGCGCTCCAAGCGATAAAAAAATTCAATATCAGTGCAATATTTGTTTTGACATATCTCATCTATTTGAAATAGGTCTCATATTGATGAACTATTATTGGCTGAATGAAAAATACAAATATGGAAACGATGTTCGCAGTGAATATCATGCAAAATTATATATGATGATCTCAAACATAGTACAGGAGGAATATTATTATGATAATGATGATTTGATATTGAAATCAATTCAAAAATGATCAAAATTTGATTTCATTTTCATTTTATCAAATTGATATTAAAGAGCCAATATCAGTGCAATATTCCTAGACATTTGAATGCAATTTTTAATGCATTTTCATCATAAATCTGATATTGATGCTATATTTCTGATTCGATATTGGATATTAAATATCAGCCCACCATGAGAATTAACAAAATGAAATCGTTAATATTCCAACAATATTAAATAGATATTGGCAAACAAATATCGACTGCGGTCACTCAAATAATATCAAAATGGATAATTGGTTTGATATTGGACCAATCTAGTTATTCCATATTCAATAATCGAATATTGGGCTAATGTGAAACCAAGATATAGCCAATATGATGATGTTCTACCTAGGTCAATGTGATAGACACCACGCTGTGTAAACATCATTCACAATCTTCACACCTGAGGTGTGTGTGTGATTGTAATATTCACTTCTTCTTTAATTTTATGTAGGTCCCACTCCATCTCCAGATCCATCGTGTAGTTCCTATCCAGCGGGGGAAAAGGTATCTCTAGTGTATCCCTTAGATTGCAGCAAATACTATCTCTGCTATAATGGCAAAAAATCAGTTGAGCCCTGTCCAGAAGGCCTCTACTTCGATGACGTTAGTAGCCTGTGTACTTTTAGGGACAACGTGTCATGCGGTGAGTAACTAATATATTCGTAGTATATTCAAATCATAAGACCAGAGTGGAGTAAGCGATGTAATCACTCATTTTTTGTCAAAAAAGTCGTATAATCAGAGAAGGGCACGAAAGATAGCTAGTTCTGTAACTTCTGAATCATTCGAGATCCGAATTCGAAATTTCGTGGGTAGCAAGTATAATATATTGACCGTATTGTTCATTTATCGACAAGAAAAAACTTCGCTTTCATTCTAACCAGAAGTGACGACTCCAACTTCCAATTTTCGATTCGGACCCCCTCGTATAATTTTTCATTCTGGATTCAGTGTCAAATTTCACATACAACAGCAGTGCGACGCTATTTCTATTACTTGCCAATGAATGAGAACGAGTTATCTGATATGTTACTGGTTCATGTTTATAGAAACAAAATGGTGGTCAATTTGAGCATTCATTGCAATAAATATATATTTTGTCGATTCATCTATTCTAATTTTCCTCTCTCTGTGCTAATGAAAATAATGAAGTTCAAACTGAAGTTTATTTTTCTGCAACCGACACAAAAGTCGTCCATTTTGATACCAAAATTAGCTTTTGAATTGACGTTTCTATTACTGACACAAAAATAGGTATGTTGCTGGGCAACATATTTAGTTCCTAGGAGCTAAAGTTGAATTTTAGTTCCTAGGAGCTGAAGTTGAACTTTAGCTCCTAGGAACTAAAAGGGATCTACTAGACGTCATCAAGAATAAACAACATTGTGACGGTTGGTTATTTGGTTATTTGGGTTGAGACGCATACCTGATTTGTTTCCGATTTCAGCAGAGTATTGGAATTATAAACATCTCAGTTGAGTATTTTCGTTTGATCAGGGAAGCCTTCAAGATTCAAATACTTGCTTGATCTGTATTTCATTCGTTATTCTCGGGATGGATAACTTGTCTTTGAATAATCACGGCAAGCAATAGTTTTTGTGTCAAACAACGATATTGTTTTGCTTCATTTGATTATCAAGTCAAACACTGTGTAGTATGGAGAGGAATAAATAATCACTATTATCATTGGTGATATGCTCACTAACCTAGCATTTCCCACGTCTTGTTCCTATAGCTGGCACTGGCGCGGTATTTGCCATTGGAGCACCTGGTCCATACACAAATATGTCACTCTGTGGTTGTATTTATATTGAAACTACAATTCGAACATCCTTGAAAACCTAACCTGCTGTTAATGCAGGTAGAATATTCTTAGCACATGGATTATTTGTCACTATTTGTTGCATTGCATACATATCGCACGCATTGGTGGTTACTTCACATGTTTATTTGAGTTAATTGTTTCGGTTGCAGAAAAAATAGCATGTTTCATTCGGATCAAAAGTGACTTTATTCGACTCGCAAATTTTGTTTTCGCTCGGCTTCGCTAAGCGCTCCGCCTCGCAAATGCAAAATTCGCTTGTCAAACAAAGAGTCACTTTTGATCCTATAATAAAAAATCTACTATTTGTTATTTTTGTTTCACACAGAACGCAGCTGAAATATTTTAGACCATCATTTCCAATCCATGGCAGATTACTAAAACTTTTTTCTTCTGATGAAAATACAAGTTTGTTTTCGGTTCAAGCTGGATAGTAAGATCAGGTCGATTCAATGTTAATGTAAATGCTATAGATACCTTTTGACTGTTGTTCAGTCATTCATTTAACTATACGTGATATGATGATGGATAGGATGTACAATTGTACATCCTCTCATACCAAACCAGAGTGTCGAAAGTAAAATTTTTGCTTGGGACCTAACTTCCTGGGATAATAAATGTTACAGGAATAAGCTATTCAGAGGAGAGACGTTATGGCTACAGTTTTTGTACTTAAAGTCCTAACTTGTTGTCCTAGTTTTATCAATCAATCAATTAATCGATGAATCAACGAATCGAATAAAAGTAATAACAGTCTTACCTTGCATGGTAGTAATAGCAGGAACAAGTATACATTTATTAGTGATAAAATAAATATTTGTTACAGAACATGCTTCAACACTTCAACCATATCCTACAAAAAGTGAGTACCAAATACCAATATAGCAAATATTTAATATTCACTGAAGTAAATATGAGGGATATACAGTCTTTATAGTTCTTCCGATAAAATTCAGAGCTTAAGGAATATAAATAATATAATCTTCAATAAGTATCTAATTCTCATTGCGGGGTATTAATCAACATTGAAACTATAATTTATCATTCACTAGTAAACATATATCATTTGTTTCAGCTTCCGAAAATCCAGACATTACAAGTAAGTACAAGTGATTATACCATGTTTATGCATTAATTACAATATCTGCCTATGTATATTTACAGCGCGGAGCTCGATAAGACTTATGATCAAATTACTCATAAGATTATCTCTACAAACACAGTTTTCAACAAAACAGAAGGGAAAATATCAAATTAGTAATCAAACATTGTCAAAAAAGAATCCAATACCTACCTCCTATCCCTATCCTTCCTAGGAACGCACGATGTTCTTTGAACATTATAGGGATTCCCTTTCGTGCGCTCGAAGCGATAAAAAAAAATTTAGGTATTTATTGATTTTTTTTTATTACCTATAAAAATTATCTATACGTTCTAAAAAGATTAGTTTTTTGAGTTCAAGTTCAAATTCGATTATATTTCTGCAACTTTCCATATTCTCGTGTGATCATATTCAAATAGCGTGAGTGAATTTTTTTGCCCTATTGAAGACTTAGTAATATCAAGATGGAATAAATAATGTGGTCTAGTTGTTGTTGGTGATCATTAAGTTCATAGTTTCTTTTTGCAGGAAATTCTGATCTTTCATTTATTATATTCTATATTAGATTTTGAACATTTCATCTCTGTTGGTGTACCATTATGGTTACTGATTCTGTACTTTCAATGACTTTTCATATAATGCAGATATCTTATTGAAATTGTTTTCGAAAAGTATCGCCAAACATGTATCAAATAGATATAATGCAGATATCTTATTGAAATTGTTTCCGGAAGGTATCACCAAACATGTATCAAATAGTTGATGCGACTAAATATATGATGAAAAATATTGTATTTGCAACCCTTTTACTGAGTTTGAGCTTTCCTAGGACTACAATAATAGCAGACAATTCATTTTCAAGACTTCTATATATTATCTGCATATATACTATGATCAATTTCTGTTTCAATTTTGGTGATATTGTCACGATATAAGAGTTTGTTGTATAGTGGATGATTACACCATGTAAAGATATAGTAGGTGGTTAGACCATCCATATCCATTTATATCGATTTATAAAGGGTAATGCTTGGCTTAATAGTTTGCGAGAGGTAATATTCAAACAGGCACTAATAGTTTAGGGGTAACTGAAAGTACGAGTCTACATTCAAACATAACAATATTTATTATATTAGCATGAAACATTATGGGTGAAATGATTATAAATATGAATAAACAACAATGAATATAAAGACCTAATAACAACTTACATCATAATGACCATCACGACGAGCTCTTGTCAAGTCAAGAGTAGCCCCAGACCAGACTAACTTCGAAACCCTCACATCCAATATTCATATACATCATTTTATTAGAAATGCACGTTTCTCATGAGAGTTCCTTGGTCAGTTTTTATAATTCAATGTCAACGGATGATTTGATTTACTTTAAGGTTTATAAAACCCTCATGGTTCGAAATTACTGATATACCGTATGTTCTACTCGTGACAATATTCTGAATATACGAACTGCAGAAACTTTTCTGAAGGCATAAAAAAGTGTTTGGGATTACACGTTGAAAGGTAAGGCCCCTGCCATTCCTTGATCGCACAAGTCTCTTGGAAACTTCTGAGGGCTGCTCGTAAGTAGGCAACCGAATGACGGATAGAATCATTTTTCTAGTAGTATCAGCCGGTCTGAGACATCGAAGAGTTTCCCAGATGTCTGATCTTTGTTCAACTTCTCTAGTTCCACGAAGGGTGTTTGAGCTCTCCTCCTCCCTTTCTTAATGATGAATCTACAGTTTTCCGTTGTGACACTTATTTGTTAACACCCTGTATAGCACAGTGCTTAAATGGATGCTTCACTATCGGACATCAAAATGACATCTCGTCTTTCATAGCAGTTTACTATATTGTACTGTACCATTGTCTGCTCAATATGGAAACAAAATCTAGTGAGCTGTATTATATCTGGTCTGCTCAAACAAAGCAAATCACCTACAGGTTTCTGTGGCCGATACAGTAGTGCCGCCATACGGTCAACTCGAGGAAACACTTATTTCAATTGTTTTCCTGTCAAACCTACATAACCTTGAAAATCCTAAACGAGTTGAGTAGCTCCCTCAGCAGAGCTCTCGGCACTCTTGGCCTGCCGCGTAGTTTATTGTTCAGTGAGTTTGAGTTCATTATCACGACATAGTCATGGGTCACGGTCACTCAGTCACTCAAAAATTCAAAAAATCATTCCTTCTCAAAATGATTGCGACACTACAATAGTCCCCAATTTCGTAACGTTCAACACCTAAATCAAATGAGGTAGAATGAGTAGTTTCGATTATTAGCTTTTGATCAGGGCTCTGATTATCTCACTTGTAATGAGCCTGTAACGGAGACGGTTTCACACTTTCTGGTAGGCACAATTGAGACAGAGTTTGTAACAAATTGTCAATCAGAATAAACTATATGAATGAAAGAGTTATTAGAACAATGAGAATTGAAAAAGACAGATTTTTTCAAAGAAAAATGCAATACAAGTCACGATGGCAGGACAGCTCTTGACACTGACAACTTACATAACCACAAATTTCGAAAATTTTCTAGAAAAAAGTGAAGATCATTTCGTCCGATACGGTAACATCCTCTGGTGGTCATACACTCAACTGAGCTATAGAGCAGACCAGTAGTTACAGCTCACTAGATTTTTTCTCCATATTTAGCTGACAATGTACTGTACACATTTTCCTTCAGTGTGAACTTTCGTCTGAAATATGCTTGGGAATTTGCCAAGGCATATCCTTGAAGATTACCTTTAATCATCGGTAGTCTATGAGACTCTGAGATGGTTGATTTGATACTGATTTTCCTATTTCGAAGATACGAATCTGAAAGACTATCAATTATATCAAATATCTTGAATTTCAGTAGGATATCTTTATTGGAATTGTTTTCGAAAAGTATCGCCAAATATGTATAAGATAGTTGATGCGACTGAGTATATGATGAAAATAATTGTATTCGCAACTTTTTGATACAGTTTGAGACTTCTTACGACTCAAATAATAGCAGACAATTTTTTTTCGATACCTTTATGTATCATCTGCATGAATGAAACGATCACTTTCTGTTTCAATTTTGGTGATATTCTGAATATACGGACTGCAGAAACTGTTCTGATGGTCCAAGAAAGTGTAGGATCACAAGTTGAAAGGTAATGCCCCCGCGTCATTTCTTGCTCGCACAAGCCTCTTGGAGGGTTGCTCGTAAGGGGGCAACCGAATGACGGATAGAACCAATTTTTTAAGTAGTATCAGCTTATCTGAGACCCCAAATAGTTTCCCAGATGTCTGATCTCTGTTCACCTCCTCTAGTTCCACGAAGGGAGTTTCAGCTCTCCTCCTAGCTACTTAATTTTTTCCTATTACACCCTTAGAAGGGTGATTGTATTTCTGTTGGCTAGGTCGTTCAGGATTTCCCGGCATTTCCCTATCTTCGAGCTGATAACCATCATATTGCACAACGCTTAAATGGATGCTTCACTATCGGCCATCAAAATGACATCTCGTCTTTCATAGCCGTTTTCTATATTGTACTGTACACATTTTCCTGTAATGTGAACTTCTGTCTGAAATATGCTAGAGAATTTGCCAAGGCATATTCTTGAGGAACACCTTCATTCATCGGTACTTTATGAGACTCTGAGTTGGTTGATTCGGTACTGATTTTCCTATTCCGAAGATAGGAATCTGGAAGGTTTCTTATAATGTCCCATTGATTTCCAAATGCGTTATATGGTCAACTAACTGTAAAAAGGCTATTGTAAGATTAATTAAAATTGCTATCATATACTTTTCAAGACAAGTTCTCAATGTGGAATGCTGTCGATTTGACTTGATATTTTCATTAGTACCCATATACTGAAGATAATTTGTGTTAATGTTCTAGCCCCACCTACAGCACCTACACACCCAGGAACAACTGGTAAGGCTATATTTTTTTTATTTCAGAAAAAAATATTGCACAGAAAATATTTATAAATCATCACTTCAACAATTACATTGATTTTTCATAATCCTCTCAATTAAAATCAATCATACTAAATATTGTGAAATTGACACTCTTGATATAGATCACGAATCAAGTATCACTAGGCCGTGTGAACATCTTTTACAATCTATACACCTAAAGTGGGTGTGTTATTGTATTAATCACTTCTTCTTTGATTTCATGTAGGTCCCACTCCATCTCCAGATCCATCGTGTAGTTCCTATCCAGCGGGAGAAAAGGTCTCTCTAGTGTATCCCTACGATTGCAGCAAATACTATCTCTGCTATAATGGCAAAAAATCAGTTGAGCCATGTCCAGAAGGCCTCTACTTCGATGACGTTACCAGCCAGTGTACTTTTAGGGAAAACGCGTCATGCGGTGAGTATAACTGCTATATTGTATAGGGTTGTCAAAAATAAAGCCGAAATTTCGTTCTCGAAAAATAACTTTCTCAATACTATACCGATTCGATTGATTTTGGGATTATTTGGAAGAGAATCAAACAACACAAAACTTCAAAGTCGAATTTATTGCATTTTTTCATAAAACAAAATGGGGGACACACCTTAACTTGGCAGAACTTGAAAAGTTGCTGGAACTTCTTTGAGCCGCACTGTATATTTTTGCGTGCCAGATTCTGAGATAGTGGACTTTTCTGAACAAAACAAGAGATCGAACATGCAAATTCGTCAAAAAGTAGCTGATATATGACCTTCATCGTTCAGATTTGCCAAGAAATTATGAAAAACTAAAAATTCAATTCTACGTTTGAGTGGATTGAATATCAAAGTTCTTCCATTTCTGTGAATCCTGGCCTCCGAATCATTCTACAGAAAATAGTTGCATGGCACGAAATTGTTGTCTGTATCCTCTCAGAATACAATTTTTGATAAAAATCTGATGGTCATTAAAAAGCATCATGTTGAATTTGAACCCTTCGAAAAGATACATACACACATGAACAAATGTTAATAATCCCTTAGACAATAAGCGAAATTTCGAGGGTAATATATTAGAGGGGCGTATGCGCCACTACTGTAATTTCATAGGAGAGCAGAAATAGTGTGCCATTTCAGTATTTCTGAGATATTTCGAGATTTTTCAGAGTGATTATCACGAGATTTCATTCATAGGTGATATGAACTGATATTTAAATGACTTGTATTCCAAAAGAGGATATTCTTCATTATTGTGCGAATATCGGCGCATACGCCTTCATGATAAAATAATGTCTATATACTGATGATAATGTATGTAAGAAAGAGGCGTATGAGATCATTCTTTATTGATTCTCATTTTTTTCATAGCCAACGAAATTAACAAATATTATGATAACTTCAAACTCGAACAATACTGAAAAATGTTTCTTATTGAGAAAATGAAAGAATACATCAACTGGAACTAGTAACAGACTATTCTAAATCCTTTTTCTTTCCCGCATTTTTTCTTTTTCATCACAGAGAGTGGCATTTCATCGTCTGTGTCGTTTCCAGACCCAACGTCGTCCAAATTCTTTCCCAGCTGCATGTAAAATCGTTTGTACACTTCTTCAATCACATCCGTTTGGCATAAATCGCTCAGGTCTCTAAATTTATTTTACTGATAGGCAAACTACTTTTGAAGGCATGGTAGTCGCTCAAATCCATGGAAAATAGTGAATTTGAGGGTCTTTTTCGATACGCCCGTTCATCGTATTTTGAATGTTGTTGAACTTTCTGCTTCTAGTTGGGACTTAAGGGTTCATACGCCTATATGATCTGGCCTAGAAATTCAAAAAATGGTGTATACGACTTCAAAATATCGGCATTTTCAGTTGATCTGATATGTCAATCTGATATGTCATTCCCACCAGTTTCGTGAATGACTTATGATCTCAATTTCATCAAAATTGGCCCATACGCCCCTCTGATATATTACCTTCGATTTGTTATACACTACTTGATTTTGCAGAATTACGAAACAAAAAAGGGGAATTAGAGGATGTGGTATCAAACTTGCCCATATCCTATTATATGTCAGTTATTTTTTGAGGGATTTACATGTTTGACCTTTTGTTCAGTTCAGAAAAGTCCACGCACTCAGAATACCACACGTGAAAATATACAGTGTGACTCAAGAAAAAAAGTTTTTGAGTTCGGCCATTCATGTGTCCCGCCATATTGTTTTTTGAATAAAAATTAATAAATATGGAGTTGCTTTCTGTCTTCTACGATTCTCTTTCAAAGAAGACCAAAATCAATGAAGTCGGTGCATAAATAAAAAACCTATTAAACGAACACAAAATTCGTAGTATTTTCAAATCATCAAACAACAGTGGAAGGGTGGATATAATCACATAGTTTTTGCCAGAAATAATAATGTTGCAAAAACTCTTATATTATTTTTTTTCAGCGCATGCATCGACACCACTGCCTTATCCAACAACAGGTGAGTTGAAGAATCTATATTTTATATCCATATTTAAGTTTTCAAGAGATTCATACCAATAGGGAATTTCACCATGATTTTTAGATTTTTTTTCACGATTTAGAACACATACTGGGTGAATTCAGCATTTTTTCAATTTTCTCACGATTGCGGTTGACCCAGAAATAATTATCAAATTCAACCTAAATCCAAACGATAGCTTGAATGCGCGCTAAATATTGATGGCATTTCATTGGACGAATACAAGGTGCGTCACACCGCGTCATACACTTCAGACGGACATTCTCATTGGGTAATTCGTCTTGTCACTTGGTCTTGTCACCATTTGTCATTACATTCGTCACTCAATAAAAACTATAATAGTGATATTCTTTCGTTCTGAACGTACTGACACATTTCACTTGAACTGAACTGAATCAGTTGACATGCAATGTACAGGGCATCCCACATACCATGGGCCAGCACATTATCTAGTAAACTGAGGAGTTCAAGAGATACGAACAAAATTGAGAATCTAGTCTCTACATTCTGAGTTGAAATATTTTTGTATCCACTGATATCTCCCAGTAACTCAGCAGTAACAATAGGAATGTATATGAATTCAATTATTCCTTTTAGATCCTACAGGAGCTACAACATCAACAGCCATGCCTAGTACTACTTCCGAAGGTAAGATCACAAGATATCAGGTACCTTCCTAGGTAGGACTTATCCATATTTTTCTTGTCAAACCATCTTCCTGATGTTTTGAGTAATTATATATTCATTGTTCCTTTTTAGTTCCAACGAAGATAACGACTCCAATAACAAGTACTACATCAAAAGGTGAGATATCAACAACAAAGTTACTTAGTTTCTAGTGTGCTCATGAAATATCTTGAGAATTCTCATTCTCCATGTGATGAAAATATTAATTCTTTCTCGGGTTATTCAACAGAAAACAAATACTTACTTGGCTATATGCCACGACAAACATTGAATTACATATATATTGAACATACAGGAAAAGAATTTAAAAACATAATCTTCTGAAGTAGAGAATTTGCATTCTCCTTCATATAAAGATATGCACATAATTATAATAACATTCTAAATATTCAACAGAAAACAAGTACTTTCCTGGCTATTTGCCATGTCGAACATTGAATTATATCTGTTGAATATCTCTCAAATCGAATAGAATAATATGATGATATAAAAGTATAACTAACATCATATTATTCCATTCGATTTGAGAGATAATGTCAATTCTCAATTCCAGAGGATTTTGATTTTTCATGCTCTCTTTTTGGATATTCAAAAGATATAATTCAATGTTCGACGGGGCAAATAGCCAGGAAAGTAGTTGTTATCTAGATATATCGAAGACTGAAACCTTTGGCACGATAATACACTACACTGTTTCACCACTAACCAAACCGATTTTTTAACGCCTCGACACGTGTTTCGCTAACTATGTTAGCATCTTCAGGAGAAGATTAAAGTTTTAATCTTCTCCTGAAGATGCTAACATAGTCAGCGAAACACGTGTCGAGGCGTTAAAAAATCGGTTTGGTTAGTGGTGAAACAGTGTAGTGTAGTTGTTATCTGTTGAAAAGTCAGAATGATATTATATACATATCTTTATATGAAGAAGAATACAAATTCTCTACTTCAGAAGATTTTGTTTTCAAATTCTCATCTTGTGTGTTCAATAGATCTAATTCAATGTTCGTCGTGGCATATAGCCAGGAAAGGAGTTGTTTTCTGTTGACTAAACCGAGGAAGAATAAATATTTTCATCACATGGAGAATTCGAATTCTCAATGTATTTCTTTATATACAGTGTGTGCGATTCTTACCCGCAACACCCTCCTAATTTGCAACTCGTGGACCGATTTCCAAAAACAAAAATTCCTTAATATAGCATCAACGAGCCCTTTTCGAAAATGTGGACGAATTTGAAATATTCAGATATTCAGGCCTACTTTTGTTTGATGAAAGGGTCAAAATTTCAAAAACGACTATTAGGCAATTTTTTTTCGAAGCATTGACTCTTCTATTCGAATCAAGCATAGCTGAAATACATAAGTACGAAATTTTAACGCAAAATCTCATATAGGGTGGTAGTTATTCAATGGCAAATTTTGATATTTTTCATTTTTCGATTCGTCCTGTATCAAAATCTAAGGAGTTGATGTAACCGGTGGAGTAATTATTCGATAGAGGAACACATCGAATACATAGGTACGGTGTTTCATCACTGTAACTTCTACAGGAAGATTTCTCTAGGTCAACCAATAATTAATGAAATTGAAATCGAAATTTTTCCTAATGTGATCCATAACTTTTTTCTAATAAATATAGATAATGGTTAAGAATCCGGGGAAATATTTCGTTTACATGAAAATTTTCAACAGTAATTACACAAGTGGTGGTAATTTTTTGATAATTTTAACTAGATGCACGAATCTTTGTTGCTATAGAAATTTCACGAGTGGACGAAGTCCACGAGTGGGATTTCTCAATAGCAACAAAGACGAGTGCTAAATCTAGTTAAAATTATTTAAAAAAATAACCAACACGAATGTAATTCGGCGTGATTATTTTTTTTACTATTTCGCAAAATGCCCCAGAATATGTTTATTAAACAATTATTTATTGAACAATCATTTATCATACAATTATATATCAAACAATTATATATCAAACAATTATATATCAAACAATTATATATCAAATAATTATATATCAAACAATCAAGAATGTTTACAATTTACGTTTGTAATGGTGCAATTATTGTATGTTATTGTACAATTTCCTTGAGATGAAGAGGTCGAAACAGTGTTTCCTCTCAAGTTGTTTATCATGCTTGCGTGATGCTCTTTGTCAAGTTGAAGATAGGGTTTGATGGAGCTTGCAGATGAATGTCCAGTTATCTTCAACAACTGCTGCTCACTTACTCCACTTTTAGCGAGTTGTGTCACAGCAGAAGAACGATGTGAATGGTTTGTAACCTTGATTTTGCTAGGATCCAAGCCAATCTTTCGGGCCGCTTGTTTTGTCCATTTTGCTATTTCATTTTGTCCTACCGGAAGATTTTTGTACCACCCCTTAGACAAAGGTTGCTGCCAATTTGGATTAGGTGTTAAAAATAAACGATCAATTTGAATATTTGCACTTCTTTTCGACATTAACTTCCGAAAGAGACGTACTGGACATTTTTCAGTCTCATTTTCATTTGGCGTTAAAAATTTGCTATCAGATAACCTGTGCGATCCTCCTTGTGCTGTTTTAGAAATTATTGGATTATATTCTATCCTTCCAGTTTGATTTCCATAATGATCCATTTCTTCTCTAAAATACTGTACTAATGCTTTTGTCGCTTCTCCGCCTCTCCAAGCCAATTCGTAGCTAGCAGTATGATAAAACTTCCTTTGTAAGCCATTTGGAGTATTTTCGTCCCATGCTGCTATCATTTTTTCTATTTCTTCTTTCTTGAGAGCAACAGAAGATGCTTTTCTTTTTTCAGGAATATGTTGAAGTTCTCGACGTTTGCAATTCCGCGCATCTCGCGCGGTCTTAAATTCAATATCAGTGAACGGATCAATGTTTCTATTATACTCCCTGAAATATTTTTCCTGGATAAGTTTTGCGGTGACATTCCACAAAGTTTTGACAACAGATTCTTTGTAGTTTTCTCCATTTTTTTTTCGCATGTTATATGCCCAGTCCTCCATAATTGATGCGATTTGTTTCATCTCGGTTGTTGCAGTCAACTCATAATTACGTTCAAGGCAGAACTCCAAAAACTGTTTCCATATCGTATTCTTGCTTTTTGTGGTGTTGATTGGTGTTGCTTGTTCGACAGCTAAATGTATTGAATCAGCCGAGCTTTGACCAAATCTCGTGCTCATGTCGGTTTCTGTTAATGACTAATAATAATTGTAAAGTTTTTCCGAACCTATACCAACTCGTTTAAACGTTAGAGAAAATCACAAAATACGAAGTCTGACTGATACTTAACAATGGCGTCGGTTCTGAATTCGAAATGTTTACATTGAGACAAATAGCTGCGTTACCTTGACAACCAAGTCAAGTCAATGCTAATTCTCTAAAGGTGCCCCATAGACTGCGTTGTTGGTAGGCCGTTTTGTTCGTCGAACAAGTCTGTTCGAACAAAAAAGACACAAAACTAAAGTGTGTGGCCAGCGAAAACGAACATTTTACAGCCACACACTTCGGTTGTGCGCAATTTTTGTTCGAACAGACTTGTTAGTCGAACAAAACAGCCTATCAACATCGCAGTCTATGGGTCCCTTTTTGTATCCATTTGAAGGAAGATCCAAACGTGAATAAGTCATCGCGGTAATTTGATACTAACAAATTATCAGTATGATTCCGAATGATTGGCTAGAATCACGCATTGATATTGGTTGAAACAAGGAAAACGTCACATTTTGACATGTAAAAAAAATAATCATTGTCATCTCAAATTTCCATTCCATTTCGCCAAAATCAGTATATTATCATGATCATATAAAACATCAGTATATCTCCTAGCAGTCTTTAGAGAGATATGAGAGTCTGTCATTTTATTTGTGTTATATTCGACAGCTCTTTATCAAACTAGACGATTTTCAAGGTGATTGTGTGGTGTAGTGTGTGAAATACGGTTTTCTTGAGTTTTCAGAATGGTGAACCTCGACATTAGTTGTATTGATTTTTGGTTGATCTAGAGGAATCTTCCTGTAGAAGTTACAGCGATGAAACTTCGTACCTGTTTATTCGATGTGTTCATCTATTGAATAACTACTTCACCGGTTTTAGCAACTCCTTAGATTTTGATACAGGGTGAATAAAAAAAATCGAAAATATCAAAATTTGCCATTGAATAACTAACACCCAATATGGGATTTGGCTTTCAAATTTCGTATGGAGGTATTTTAGCTACGCTTAAATCGAAAAGAAAAGTCACTGTTTCGAAGAAAAATTGAAATTTTGATTCCTTCAACGAACAAAAGTAGGCCTTGAAAATCTGAATATTTCGAATTTGTCCACATTTTCGAAAAGTGCTCGTTGAGTAGCATATTATGGCATTTTTGTTTCTGAAAATCGGACGAATTTGGAGGGTGTTGCGGGTTGAAATCGCACACACCGTATATATACAGGGTGATCCGTTTTTTAATACGGAAAATTCAACAGCGTATAGTACTCGTTGGAATAATAAATAAACTTCCTATGAACATATACTTTTTAACGCTTCGTTTTCGAGATATAAGGTGTTCAAGTTTCTTTAAAAAATCGATTATTTTTTGATTTCTCAGAAATGCTATAACCGATTGTGATGAAATTCACATCTATTGTGGAAGTATCAATGAGCTAACTTTCAGACCTATTAAAGATCATGAATGAGTTACATATTTTCAGGGGCGTGCATTTCAAAATTTTTTTGCCCTCTTACATCTCTTATCTAATAGCTTCGTTTCAGAAGGAAAAGTAAAAACCAAACCTATGCATGTCTCTAAACCCAATGAAAGAATCATTGTAATGCATTAAATCTAGTTAGCATTGGCCGTTTACCAAACCAATCATGTGACCATTGCAAATCAATCATTTACGTATTAGAAGAGCCACAACAGGCCATAGACTGCAGTGGATATCCTGCTATTTGTCTACAATGTTGCCGAGCTAGTACATTTTTACTAGTTAGTTTTTGAGATATGAGGTGTCAAAAATACGCTTCAGAATAAATATAGTTTCATAATCAAAAGTTGGAAACGATTCAATATAAATTAACGAAATTTTTCACAGATTCGAAACTTTTTGAGCTTTATTAGATTGAATAAAGATTATTCATGGAGAATATTCAGTGGCGGCTGAATCTGGGGTGGCGAAGGAAAAAATTATGGTTCAACATTCAAACTCTCAAAGAATGAAATTAGGTAAATATCAATAGGAAACAAAGGAATCCATTAGAGGAATTGCTCAAATTGCTGTCCTCTGTGCATTTTCTGTAACGTCTTATCATAGAACTAACTGCACTAGAAATTTGTATTGGGTTTGATTTCATTTGATTGAAAGCTTCATTAATTCTTTCAAATAATTGTTCTCTTGAAGCAATTGGTACTTCATAAGCCTTATCTTTAATTGCTCCCAGACATGAAAATCCAAAGGATAAAGGTCTGGTGACCTAGGTGGCCAAGCAACTGGTCCTGAACGACCCATCCAACGATCAGGATTATTTAAATTTAAATGAAAAATAATTACCCGAAAATTTCGTGTAATTATTACCTTCGCCACCCCAGATTCAGCCGCCACTGGAAAGTTTTTATGAATAATTTAATAAAGCTCAAAAAGTTGAGTATATGTGGAAAATTTCGTTAATTTATCTACAGTTTCTAACTTTCGATTGAAAAAATATATTCAGAAGCGTATTTTTGACACCCAATATCTCAAAAACGAAGCGTTCAAAAGTATATGTTCATAGAAAGTTTTTTCATTATTTCAACGAGTACTATACACTGTTGAATTTTCAGTATTCAAAAACGAACCACCCTGTATATATCAATTTATTTGTGTTCATAAATATATCTGGGAATATTCCTTTTCAATCCCATTGATTTTGCTGGGATACTTGACTCCACTTATGGACGTTCACCTGAACTATGTTCTGTTTATCTTCTAGATGGGATATGCAAAGATGAACCTACAGGGACGACCTTGAGTGATCCAGACGACTGTGCTTGCTATTTCGAATGCTCTAACGGTTTGACGTACCATTTCACATGTGCTGCAGGGACTTTGTGGGATAAAGTTCTAAAAGTATGTGCCGATGCTGAATCTGTGATTTGCTGAATGTGCAGAATCTCGAAGAATAATGTAGCTATCCCCAAAATAGTTGCAGTTTAGAAGATATATACATGAATGTACAGGAAGTTAATCATGAACTGAGTTTCTGCAGAGTTGTTGAAATAAAGTGCAATGAGTCTCTGATTTTAACCATATTGAATACCATTTTTAGCAATCCGATGGATGAATACCTAGTAATACAGGGTGTCCCATAAATAATGGATCAGAAGAACGGTGTTTTGGTAGCTACGGGTATTAGGTCTGGCAATATTTTCATTTTGTTCATATTTTAACACAACCTTGAAGTAATATAGTTGCCTCAAATCCATGATTTTGCTCTCTTCATATAATTGGTCTGAAGGGAATCTTCGATTTTTTGAAAGAATCAATTTCAGAAATCTTTTTCGGATTATCTCCAAGGGATTCGTATGTATTCTTAGTGCTCCACCCTATCCGATGATGCCGTAGCGTAGGTGACTTTTCACTAGAGTATGATAGAGGGTTTTCATGTAGTTTAGGGGCAGGAAATTCTTCAGAAATCTGAATTTATATAGAATTGTTCGTAGTTTTTCCAAAACAAAAGTGATATCTGCATTCCATTTCAGACGGTTGTCAAACGTTACACCCAAGTATTTAATTTCGTCTACAGGTAGTATAATGAATTTTTGATTTCGTGTGGTTATTTGAAGGTTGTTGAAGAGTGGTCTTTTCTTGGTATCACCAAGTACTCTTTACATTCCTATTCCGAGACGCTGATTGAAAATGAAGTCGTCACTGACACCAGTGACATTTGACATTCGTCAAAATAATCAACATGGAATAGTAATTTTCCTAACAAGGGCGGAAAGTGATACTTTCCCGCACGCGAATGCCGTTGATCCGAACGACGCGAAGCGGAGTTCGGGTAAGTAGTTGAAAGCGGGAAAGACACTTTCCGCATGAGTTAGGAACAATATTTTTTCTACTAGCGTAGGAAATTGATTGATTTGTTCAATCAACTATTCCTGCGAATAGGAACTGTAAGGGTCTTTATTATGCAGCCCTTACTTTGACGCTCTGTTCAGGACAGGAGACTACTCTGGTATTTGACAGGGGGGGGATTCTCGAGCGCCAGAATATTTTTGAGGTAGTTTACTCTACCTGCTCTGCACAAAATATTTTTTTATCAGAGGCCCAAAGTAGCAACAGTGGAGAAAGGTACAGGAGGTATACCTACCTGGGTTCCCACAGTATAATCCAGGGGTCAATGTTATTGAATCGACCTGGAATCAATAAGGAGCCAAGGAAGTGTAGGCTTTAATTACAAACCCTGGGTTTAGCCTGGAATGCTGGTTGCTATTTTTAGACGGTATAATTACAGGAATCAGAGCAAACTATCGTTCAGGTCTCTGGTATTTCAGGGTTAGGTCTGGAAAATTATTTATTCAAACTATTTCATAATGTCTACCTGGAGAATCGGAAACACGGTTCCAAACGAATTATACAGATGCAATTCATATTTATCTTTCCTTTTCCTTCGATTTTCTAATATTCAATCTCGAGATTTTAGTGAGGTTAATTAATTATAAATTTTCCATTCATGCATTCATGTCAAAATTTCATGAAACATAGATCACCGCCTGACGGGACACAAAGCACCAAGACCCGGATGCACAGGACAGGATTTCTCGAGGAAAAGAAGGAGAAGAATTTACCACTGGCTTGTCAGTGTCAGTCGTCAGTCAATAATAAGAATCTGCAATTTTGATGAATGAAAATATTGAAAATCACCAAATAAATTATTGACCTATTTGGAACTGAAAATAATGACAACAGAGAAAGAAATATGAAATATGCAATCACAAAATCCGTTTATTCGCAAATTCAAAGTTCTGGATTCTTTACACAGGTCGGGTGAGTATCGGTATGCAAAACAACAGGAATGAAATGAATCTATGAACAGGATGAATAAAACTGGTGGAAAATATACAAACTTACATGGGTAACACGAAATCACTATACAATAATACTTTACACTGGTTTCGAATGAAATATGAGAGCACTGGAAGATAAGCAAGAGAACTAAGAGCTTGAAGAGCAGGTCGAGCAGGTAGTGCAGACTTGTGGAGAAGAGAAGAGAGACCTTGGCTGTCTTCAGTATTTATGCACTGTTTCGGCCTTGGCACAAGGACAAGTAGATCTGGAATCTCATTGGTCAAAACTCCCACCTTGTCAAGGCTCATGGCCATGGCCACTAAATCTGTCCTTGGAAAGCACATGTGCTCCTTCAACACAAAACGCGGAAAAATAATATTACACCCTAAATGGGCACAGGAACAGGATCTACTACCTTTGCTTATGCTGCTGAATGAATTTGGCTGGAAAATATTCAATGACAACAAAGTTATGAGCAGTCAAACATTCATCATTTCAACTGATAAATAATTCAATCAAATTTCATATCATAAGCAAAGGGTTGAAAAATATTGAAGTCTCTAGGGTTGTAATGATGTTCATCAGAGTTTACTATCAGGAAAAGCTGTGGGAAGTCAGAAATCAATGCATCACTCAGCTCTCTCAGGTTTTCAGATTTCGAGCATTCCAACAGGTGAAATTCAACTGGAATCATGCTCAGGTACTTAGATTTTGATCAAAACCAGTCTAGTAATGAAGCTGGTCAAAATCACTTCATTACAGAACAACTAACAATAGTGATATATTCTTTATTTTCTGTAATAATTAGTGGTATATCGATATTGTGTGTACCGTTTGAAAGCATTATGAAGGTAAGCTTATTGCGGACGCCAGCATGCCCATGGTGTTTGGCCTCTAGGTTTCAGACATTTCTAGGAAATGAGCCAAAAATACTTCTTGTTCATTCGGTGTTTTCACTTTTTTACTATTGCACCATTCAATAAATCCCGTGTAGTGCTTCTCATACCTTTCTTAAGACTTCGTTGGCAATAACTCATCTGCATCGCATCTGTAGCTGGAAGTTTTTCATCGCAATTCCACTGAATCGAAAATGACAGTAACGCTCTGCCTGTCACTCTGAGTATCACACTAACTAATTTGTGTTTTGATTGACATGACAAGAATTGTTTCCCACATTAGATCAATTGAAGGCAGTAGGGGAATTTATATAACAATCAATTATTATTTTTCAATAATTCTTCATCTTTACAAAAAATAGTGCACTATCACTGAATACTGCAACAAAAAACCCTAAAATTCTCATATTGTGTGACCAACCACTCAATAATGTAGTATCCCACGCGTTGCGTACAAAATTTCGTATACAACACTGTCAACGTGTTCATTACTATCTTCAAATGTACCTCATCATTGATATTCCACTTTGACGTACCTACTCTTGACAGTTTTCTGATGATTGAAAACACAAGTCACCTGTGATCATTTTTGTAACCGTAGCAACTGTGTAGGTATAAACAAAGCCGTTTATAGATGTTGAATTGCATGGTCAGATCGATATCCAGAACCATCATTGAGTTTCTAGAGTGGAAATGTCTTCAAGTGAAGATGATCTACCATCCGATATTGAAAATGCGACGACAAGTGTGTTATTTGAATTTTCTTTGTATTCATTCAATGAACGATTCATTTTGGTTGAAATTCATATCTTTTCTCATTACCGCACTAGTGTGGTAATTGATTCAAAATAGCACTAGTGCGGTAACTAACATCATTATGACATTCAGAAAGTGATAGGTGAAAGGTGCGATGCTTCATTCTTCGTCTTTTTTCTTCTTCCTGCTGGTTAGAGCTTCTTCAATTTCAGAATATTCGTCGAAAATGGTTGTCGCAACTTGGAGTATTGATGAGCTTTTCAAAACGTTAACGCTTTATTCCTTCGATAATTTTTTAATCAAAATTTTGAATCGATCTGTGCTTGCTGTTAAAAACGCATATAAATTCTGAACGAAATACCGATGGACAAACGCATATGGCTGGAGCCCCGGATGCCCTTTCCTGAATCCGGCACTGTGTGTAAGACTCCTCATGTGCCTTTCTTTACTATCACTTTCATGAAAAATCTGGCGCCCGAGTCATCCAAACCATGTATGGACCTGCTAGAAGTCCTAGTTTGAAAACCCAAAACAAATGAAGGTAATTGAAAATGTTGTTAGAGCAATACATATAAGTAGGTAAATAAAAGAGTTGTAGTCAATAGAAGTGATTGTTTTTATCAGAAACACCCAATACAGGGTATCAACGAAATAGATACATTTAACTCAAACTCTAGGGCCCAGTTTCACCAACGGATTTTATCTCAGTTTTAGAGTTAACTGACAGATCATGACTGATTCAAACCGTGTAATCCAGATAATCGGTGATTCTGGTATGGTGAAACGGGTTGAATTACTCCAAAAGATTAAATCCGTTGGTGAAACCAGGCATAAGATGGGTCAAGGTACGCTTCAGGGATGAAAATAATAAGATTTGAGGCAAGACCCTTTTTCCACACAAAATCCTATTCATCAAGTGCTAGTCGTTCATAGCGAGGATAATCGCAGAGAGCGAATAAGTGACGTTGCTACAGTTCATAAAAATTGATAGCAGATATAGTATGGACGTTCCATAGATCTGAAATAAATCACGTTGAATGAGTTTCGAAATGGATCTTATGAATCATTTCGAATTATGCTACTCTTCTTAGTTATCTGAATATAGATCGTATTAACTCATGAGGATATACCCTGTATGAATGTGAAGACCCTATACAGTCTGTCCAAGATAAGGTTGAACAGCATGGGGATCTCGAAAACGGTGAGAGATACGAAATCGGTTAAATGGGGAAAAAGTTGCGCATTCGGAGGCTCATATCGAGAGCCTTCGAAAATTTTGAAAATTATTTTTAGTTTTTGAGTTATATCGAAAAAAGTGAATTTTTGGAATTTCTATTTCATTTTTTTCTCCGTTATTATTAGAGATACAGCAAAACTGAGAATACTTTTTCGTAGCAACTTTTGATGACGGTCAACGTGGTGATACCGATTCTTTCATGC